GGGGTTGTGGATGCCCCATCCCTGCAGGCATTCAAGGCCAGGCTGGATGTGGCTCTGGGCAGCCTGGTCTGCTGGTTGGTGACCCTGCACATAGCAGGGGGTTGAAATCAGATGATCATTGTGGTCTTTTTCAACCCAGGCCATTCTGTGATTCTATGAGTTAGGAGGTGTGATGAGTGGCACAGTACTCAACTCTATTGCCCTGTCTGTGCAAGATACCTCTGTGCTGCCTTTTTCCAATCCTTCTGCAGTGGCAGGAGAGAAGTTCAAAGGTCAGTTGTTTCAGTGCCTGTGCTGAGCAGTATTCAGGTGAGGATTTCCTCCCCACCCTCTCTCTGAACCAGACTGGCAGCCTGTTTCTTATTGCCACCTGCCTTTAACCTGGTTGTCAGCCAGAGGGATGAACTCAGCTTATATTTAGCTTTCTTTTGCTCCTTAGTCCACTGCCCTCTCTTAGGAATGTGGGCTGGTTGAGACACGACTATCAAAGCTTTCTGTCCAACCCAAATCCATCAAGTCTGATGGGAATGAGGCCAGACTCAGCACAGTAATTGTAGAACAGTGAAGAATCCCCTTGAGATCCTGCTTGTGCAATACCTTGCTGCCAGCAAAGAGCTAGTGGTACCTCTGCTACTGCTAACGAGCTCTTCTCCTGACATGTGTTGATGGGATTTAATTTTGTTTTAAAGGCAAGAAATTGTAAAAGCAAGAGTGTTTTTGCTGCTTGCAAATCTGCCTTACGCAAGTAGTGGAAGCTTAGATTTGCTTTGGGCCCGGGAGAAATCACCGATACCTAGACGAGATTTTTCATTTATAAAACAGAACAATCCATGCTCAAGTGCTTCCACTTACATCAGATCCTTGCATTTTCTTTTTTTTAGGACTGTGAAAATGCTAATATAGTGTTCTGCTGTCATTTATTAGCCTGCTCACCCAGATATGCTGGGGAGCCTCACGTAGATCCAAAATAAACTCTGCTGACACCTCTACAGCCAAAACATTCCTGATCTGATTTGCTTTCCTACCTTCTAAAGAAAAGATAGTGCAAATATCTCCTGCAGAGCTGCTTTGACGCAATGGCTTTAGGTCTCTTCAGGTGTTAAGGGTGGCACTGGGGACCATTGCAAGAAAGAAATGGAAAGGAGATCGTAGAGTCTCAGAATTGTTTGAGTTGGAAGGGACCCCTAAAGGTCATCTAGTCCAACTCCCCTGCAATGAACAGGGACACCTACAGCTCCATCAAGTGCTCAGAGCCCTGCCCTGCCTGACCTTGGGCATCTTGAAGGAGGGGCATCTACCGTGTCTAAGATGGAATGTGAATAGCCTTGAACTTTGGCGTAAGGCTTCTGTGGGTTTGTTTTCAGGGCTGCCTTTTCATAGATCTCATTATGTAGAAGAGGCTAAAAAACTGCAATTAGACTTCATTTGTCTGTGTCGCTATCAGTAATTAATATATTAAGGCAGCCAGTGGAACTGCTTCAAGTTACAGGGAACAGATTTCCTGCTGCGTTTCTTGCTTCCATGTATGAAGTTTTGTTCACATCCAGGATCCATCCAGATTCTGCAAGTGGAAGGATAGGACAAAATGGAGGCATGCCATGTTTGTCCCTCCAGGGGTCTAAGTGTGCTCACACAAGGCCACGAGAGCAAGTCTAATGTTGGCAATTCATCACCATTGCTAATGTTGATGTTCACTCCCAGAGAGCTGCTTGCAGTGCGTTTGCTGCGCGCACGGATGCGTGCCTCTTAGAAATCTGGGCTGTGTGTGTTGCCTTGGTGTGATCCCAGGGGATGCCAGAGATGTGTTGCTGACTTTTTGGTTATCCTGAGCGGAACCTGGAGCACAGCCTAACAGCTAAGGTCAGCAGGCCTGGCAGCTCTGCTCTAACTGTGTGAGAGGACAAAGATGATAAAATGCCCGTAACTTGACTGCCTAATATAAACTGGTGCAGCCTGCTTTGTCCAGCATGCAGAACCATGAAAATAGAAATGGGAATACTATGTGACCCTGATCTCTCTGCTTAAGTATACTTAATCCTGACACTCAGGTGTGAAATTTTTCCTGGTAGCAAGGTGTAGTTGATGGTTGATAGGTAGGTGGAACCTGCCTCCCTGTAGATAGGGAGTGAATCCATGCCCTTTCTGCCCCGAGTGAAGTGTGTGTGTAAAGGTTGAGGGTGTTGCATCTTCATGGCTCTTCCAAACTGGAGGGGGAAGCAGCAATACAGTGTCAGGAGGCTGAGGAAAATAGGTATCAGGCAGATGCATGCTGGTCTTAGGCTTGAGCATAATTATTGCTTAATAGACACGTCACGGGCAATCTCCTGCATGATTTTATCCTGGTTTGCCTATCAGGTTCTTCTGTCTGTGGTAGGTGACATGAAGCCAGATGTTCATTAAGCCAGACACAAACACTCTTGGGAAATGTGTGTATTTTTCCCCATTCTTCACGGAATCATTAAGGTTCAAAAACACCTCGAAGATCACCAAGCCCAACCCATCCCCATCATGCCCTCTAAGCCATATCCCCAAGTGCCACTTGTTGTGGAATACCTCCAGGGATGCTGACCACCTTCCTGGGCAGCCCATTCCAGTGCCTCACTGCTATTAGAAGGAATTTCTCCCATATCCAACCTGAACCTCCCCTGGTGCGACTTAGGGCCGTTACCTCTTGTCCTATCACGATTCTATATTGCTGTTAGTTTGCAGTTGTCCTTCAGCAATGCTATAGCATGCCAGTGGGTCTTCCAAATGATAGCCCAGAACTGGGACGGTGATATCCATCAGTCTCCTCTTCCTGGACTGAGTTTGAACACTGCATTACTTTGGTGAAATGATGAATGAGGCTCCCAAAAACATCACCTCTATGCCCAGAACAGCATTATTATTATTATTTTTTTTTTTGAGAAGTTTGAATGATTCTGGTCCAACAGAAGTAATTAGATGTTTTTGCTTGTGTTGATAAAGCAGCACTCGGAGCTCATTCCCGATGAGTACTTGAGAGAGCTGTCAGCAGAAAGGGTTGATATGCACTTGAAGCTGATAAGAGGAGCCAAGAGATGCTGCATGATAAAAGGACAACATAAATTTCTGTTGCATTTGCATGCAAGTGAAGGCGTGGTGTGAAGGACAGACCACAGATACCAGCTTTTAGCACGTGCTTGCTATTGTTCAAGACTGCGTTTTTTTCTCTAGATTCATTTTATGCAAAAGCTGAAAAACCGAAACATGTTTTCTCTTCAATGAATATTTATGGCTTCCAAATCTTCCAGCATACTTCTGCATGTGTAATTAGGCTGTAAATTGAGTAAGTGAGCGCTGGAGAACTACAAATGGAAAAGCCTGGGGAAAATGCTTGATGTTTCTGGTTTAGTTGCGTGCTTACTTCTTAATAATAAATAGCATTTTCAAGATAAAACAGCTTGTGCTTTCCAAAGAATGTGTCAAAAGCAGTAATAATTGGAACAGCTGTGCCAGCAGACTTAAGTGATGCTCTTAATCACGTGTAGAGTGTCCAAGTGAACTTTAGAAGAAGTTGAGTGATGTAACCAAAGCCTCTGAACCATTTTATTTGAAGATGAATGCAGTCCTCTCCCCATTTTCCTCTACTGTGGAGTCAACTCTGTCTCCAGTTTGATTCCCAGTGTTTTAACCATTTAAGTGTGTATGTCACCTTTTGGTGCAAAGTAAATACATCATGTCTGTCCCTGTAACTGTTACTTGGAAGCAGAGACCAACTCCCATCCCACTGTAGTCTCATTTCAGGCAGTTGTGGGACATCATAAGGTCTCCCCTGAACCTCCTCTTCTCCAGGCTGACCCATCCCAGTTCCCTCAGCTGCTCCCATAAGAGCTGTGCTCCAGACCCTTCCTAGTGTAGGACCCAAAACAGAACACAGCACTCAAGGTGCTGAGTACAGAGGGCAGCAGGGCTGAGCTTGTAGTGGGATCATCCTGTGGAGTGGGGTTGAAGCATTTCTGAGAGGCTGAGACCTGGAAAATCAGGTATGTAGAAGAAACAAATGTCCCATGAATGTCTGCAACTCTCTATTACATCCCTGTACTTTTCCACAGCTTGGAAAGGCTTTTTGGTCTTGAGTAGTTTTTTTCCATGTCACTGTGCTTATTTGGACAAGAACTGTTCATAATTTCAGTAGCTGCACAATCTTGTGGTTTCTTTGGAAGAGTTGGAAGGTGAAGATTTTAAGGGAGAAGGGTGAACAGTACCTGCAGTGTTTGTAATGCTGCAGGCAGCTAAGAGGGGGGGGCATGGCAAAAACAATGGGATTTCATTTGTTTTTTAGTTTATATCACAAGATCTGCTTCGTAGACACCCTAAGATGATGTTAACACTATCTTTCAAACCAGGAACTCTTGGACACCTCTGTCCCTGCAGCTCAACTTCATAATGAGTGACAGCTAATAGTCTCTAAACAGCAGTTTTCTTTCTCAAGAGCTCTGTTGCTTTACGCTTTGATTTATGGAGGCAGAGTGGTGAGTTGATGGGACACTAATGTGCTCATCTTCAAGTCTCTGCGTGTGATCTCTCACAGCCTGCTCCCTTGGAAGTGCCTGGGTGTTATTGTTGACTTTTTAACGAGGACAAGAATGGTTTCCAAACGAGAGTGACTCATGCAATCTTAGCCTCAATCTATCAAGCAGCGATGCATGGGATTAAATGATTACCTAAAGTATTAAGAATTAGATTTGAGGGGGAAGCAGCGGGGAAAGGGGGTGGGTAGTAAAGGGTAAAAATACATAGGGAATATGAAAAACAAAACAGAAAGCTACAGGACTCGAATTGTGGCTGATCGGACTGGTAAAAGGCTGCTTCTGTACTTGGTTTGTATTTCCTATAGGGGAAATGTTGTGAAAATTGAATCTCTGCTTTTTTTCTAGATATAGTCCTCTGCCAAGAGTGATACTTCACCTTGTCCTGAGCCTTGTGCTGCCTGTCAGATGCCTGTGAGAGTAACACTGTTTAACTTTTTTCTTTTCCAGCTGAAAATGAAAGTGCTGGCTGCGTGTTACTACACACATCGAGGAAGGTAAGTAGGGATTCCGGGTGATAGGCTTCATCGAGAAGCAGAGCAAAGGATTTTGAAGCGCGCTGTGGGAGTGGGGAGATGGTTTTTATTAGCCAGAGCAGGATATATTAATACCTTCTTCCCTAAATTCCTCAGTCTTCATTTAAGAATACAAAGCCAACATGCTGCTTGTTCTCCAAATGATTTCTCTGTAATTGTTTCACTGTGTTTTGTCCCAGACAATTCCTTGACGTGTTAATTCATCACTTTCTCTTCTGCAGCTGCCTGCGAAGGGATCCAAGCATACACCACAGAGACCCGGGCTGCTTAGTTCCTTTCCAGCTGAAAGCACAAACACCCCGTAGACACTGCTGTGACTTGATTTCCTGTTTATTCCCACTAATCAGATCTGCATCCACGAGGTTCAGCAGGAGTGAAATGCATGGAAACATTCCCCTTAGGAGGACAATTGGGAAACAGTGTTTAGTTTACTCTTGAGACAGTAACTTGATAATGATAAGGCAGAAACATGAGAAACCTCCCATAGGCTGTGTTACTGCAGACCTCCAACTATGAAAGTACAAAGTATGCAGAGAGGAAATGAACTGATATTTAATTTCACTTGCAGTCTTGATCTTTGGGGCTGAAGCATGACCTGTGGTGCTTTGGGCTGTCATCTCTTGTCCCACCTGGGCTGGAGGGGCTGGCTGTGTAAACTTGTAACATCGTTGATGTTGGCCGATTTAATATTACAGACTTGTTTGATTTGTCTCATCTAATACAACTGCCTAAGCTGCTTTGAGCTGGTTGCACTTGACTGAAAGTAACCTAAGAACTTAAGGTGAAAATTCTAAGTCCAAATGCAGGATCTGCTTCTGATAAGAAATAGTTGGAAGCTCGAAATATCTTGTCTTCCAGCATTTTTCTTCAGAGCTGTAGGGTTCTTGCAATTCTGGCCTGTAGTTCATGCATGAGTGTTTTAGTGTGCTATAGAGCAACAAATACCAGAGGGGATAGCATGCTTTAGCAAGGCTAGAGGGGAAAAAATGCCATGGTGGACAAGTAAAATTGTTGTGCTTCAAATGTAGAGGAATTTGGGTCCTGGGTCACAGGAGAAAGCATCACTAGAAGAAAAAGAGTTCAGTCAGATGTTTTATGTGCAGAGAGACACTTCTCTTCAGGACTGTCTCTGTCCTCTGATGATAGTCCATGGCTCTTGCCTCCCTTGAGGAGTGCTGGAAAGGCAATGCATGTCTTGGACAAGTTTGGTATGTCCCTTGATGGGCGCGTAGGGAATCTGCTCACAGTCTGAACTACTTAATCACCATCTCAGTATGCTTCTGAGGAAACATCTGTGAGTATCTGGCAGCAGCAGGGGTGGAACTGTGCTCAGGACAATGTGGTTTTGGGGAACACCTTCTCCTGAGGTTTTTGCAGCCTCTGTAAGTGGACTTTGTCTATGGAGCAGCAGGCCAGCAGATGACGTTGATTTTGGGTTGTCTTGATGAGTGTTGAAAGCTTTGTTTTTGCATGGATTGTGTGCTGCTTGGTCTAATGGATGTTGGCCAAGGGTCCTGCTTGTGTGATGTTAGGGGAGGCTGTTTCCAGTGCATTCTTATTCCTGAAATGACAGCCTCTCTTCTTGCTATGATGCACTGTACAGCTTTGCAATTAGGGATACGCATACTATTAAAATGACTATTGAGTAGCTGTCTTGAGTTTCTTGCTAGGAAGTTTCCAGCATGCAGTATCCTGGTGTGACTTGACTATCTGGCTAAAAATATTTGTGAAGGAGTAGTCATTAATTTCTCTTCAAAACAGTGGGTGTCCTGCCTGAAACAGGTTCTGTTTGAGCTATCTCTGAGGTGTTGCTGTACCAGCAATTCAACTAATTTGCTCTTGCTTTGTCTCAGCTGGTGAGCAATGTATTTATATCCTCTCATGGTGGCATGCTGCCTTGCAGTGTTCTGTGTGTATATCTTACTCAGTGTTATAGGAGTGGTAATAGGGGTAGTTATTGTGCTTATTTCATATAATAGAACAGGAGCAGGGGAATAAAGCAGGGGTGTGGTATGGAAAATTATTTACAAAAGGCATTGCTAGAAGATTGTTGCAGAGCTGGAGTTATAGAATCAAAGAATCCTTAAAGTTGGAAGAGACCTCTGAAGTTCATCTTGTCCATCTCTCCTGCAGTGAACAGGGATGGTACAGCTAGATCAGGCTGCCCAGGGCCTGATCCAGCCTTACCTTGAAAGTCTCCAGGGACAGGGCATCAACCACATCTCTGGGCAGCCTGTTCCAATGCCTCACAACCCTCATTGTAAAAACTTTCCTTATATTCCAACTTACGTCTACCTTCTTTAAGCTTGAATCATTTTCCCTTGTTCTATCACCACAGACCCTGCTAAAAGCCTGGGCTTTCAGGGCTGACTCATGTCCCCCCCTCCTATCCACCAGTACCCCCAGTTCTTTTTTGGCAGGGCTGTGCTCAGTCTTTTCATCCCCAAGCTTGTAGTGATGATTGCCTTGACCCAGGTGCAAGGTCTTGCATTTGAGTCAAATCCTCATGACTTGCATCAAAGCTGCTGACATTGGTGTCCTAACACAGCAAGCAAATGCTGCTGTCCTGTGCAGATCAGTGGAGGATCGGCATTGATTGACGTGATGTGGGCAGATAATAGCCATCTGCTGAATGCCTCTGATTCATTTCTGTTATCTATCAGCCAACTTCTTGCTTTCATGGTTCTGTTGCTGATGACTTCTCTTAAGCATGTGAGAAATTGATGACATGAAAACTTTTTCTTGAGACCATCTTGATGCTGCAGCATTCCAATTGTCCTTAACTTTCTTATAGTTCCTTTGCTCCATATTCTTCTGTTTTTGTTAAATCAAAATCCAGAAGGCTGGAAGAGACCTCTGAGACCATCAAGTCCAACCCCAACCTATCCCCACTGTGATCACTGACTGTGGCTGCAAGTGCCCCCATCCCCATGGTTCTTGGACACCTCCAGGGACAGTGACTCCATCACCTCCCTGTGCCAGTGCCTGACTGCTCTTTAGGAAAAGTTGTTTCACAGAATCCACCTAGAACCTCCTCTAAATCCTCTGTAGACTGTTTAATCTTTCCACTGTTTGACCATTCATCCTAGGTTGGACTCTGTGCCAAACAAGCTGGAACAGGACACCTTTGAGAGAAGTTCTTGTCACCTGGTGAACTCATGAGCACAAATATTACAGGTGGTGATAGGTATTTAACCTGCTTTCATGCAGTGATAGCCTAAGATGGATTGGCCACTTGCAGTTCTACCACCTCCCACCTTAGGTGGGATGGTGACATAGCTGTGTCACTGTCTCCTCTCCTAAGAGCAGATGGCAGTAAAGCCTTGGGGGTGGCAATGAAATCCTTCAGAGAATCCTCAGTCTCAGTCCTCCAAGGCTGTGTAAGAAATGATTGATGCAAAGTAAAACAGTGTTAATTGCAATGGATGTGTACTGACAACTTGATAGTTGCTGCGATAATTACAGTAATTAGTGAGATGTTAGCATTTTTCTTAGTGTCTAGCCTATAAATGGAAAAGGTGGAGTGGGTATGTGTGAGAGGAAGGGACTCAAGCAGTATAGTGGTCCCTATAACGGGGGGGGCAATGAGCCAAGGTCTTTGTTGTGCAGGCAGCATGGTTTCAGTTTTATTAAAGCAATTTGGAGTGTATATCTTACTGAGGTTAAGGGGAGTTGTAGAATCAAATGCATCTTCAAAATCTGGTCCGCCGACTCATAACGTCTTGTCTAGCTTCCTGTGGGATGGAAGATCCATATAATGAAATGCAAGTCCTATTTCCTTGTTTTATCTCAAGCTGTTGAAGGGTAGGACAGGACTGTCAGTCCTTGATTCGCTACTGAGAGTGTTAACTGCGTGCGTGGATTTCTAAGAACTGTGAAATGGGAACAACAAAATCTGCAGTTTGATAATTCAATTAACAAATGTCATACCTGACAAATGAAGAAAGGAATTGAGCTTCTGTAATACTGCGTGGTTGTTTCTTCCATTTCAAGGTCTACGAGTCTGACTGGGACAACAGACAGAGCCAGCAGAGTTGAGGCAGTACTGGCCTTTTCTTGCCATCTGGTTTTCCTCCTCTCACACACTGATTCAAAGCTAAATGTTATGTGGAGAGGAAGAAAATTTCCTTGTGACAACACTAAGAATGTAGGAAGAATAAAAAGACACTGGGCTGCATGAGATTTCCGTATCTTCCTCTCCAAGCTCCTGAATTAGGAAGACTTGGAGAGATGGCTCTTTGGGAAGAGCTGACATAGGATGCCTGGAGATGCACGCTAGTAGTTCTTCACTCTGCTGAGCTGGGAGTTGATTTCTTCCTGACAGCTTTGCCCGTGTCATTGCAAACATGTTGAATTGTTTAAACCAGAAGAAGGCTTAAGATGGTACCATAAGCAGGCTATCTTTTATCTTAGGAAATGAAATTGGTTTGTTTATTCATCACTGCATTCAACATCAGGGTGGAAGCTGTGACCAGGCAATCACCCATGGAGACTCAATTAGCATAAGCCTCAAAATTGCCTTTTAATGCATTAACAATATAAAAAAAAACTACTTTTGCAATGTGATCTGAAAAAAGTGATTCTAAAATCATTGGTTTGTTGACAGTAATATCAGAAAAAGCTGTTGTCTTGCAAACTACAAAACCTTACTCCTTTGTCTGGTATTGGTATACCTATCTAATGCTGTTATGTCTTCTTAATACAGTACCTGAAATTAAAGAATTTTGAGGAAGAAGTCAGAGCCCACAGAGACCTGGATGGGTTCTTGGCCAGAGCCAGCATCATCCTTGATGAAACAGCCACCTCTTTGGATGACGTCCTTCGAGAGATGCTGAAACATTTTGCTGAAGACCCCGAGAACACGGAGCCAAGCTGTAACTTTGAAAAAATCATGAGCACTTTATTCACAGATTCAGGGACCCCGCGAGAAGGGAATGGTAATCCATACTTGATTAGTTTCCAGATAACAGTTATTAGCCATCCTTTTCATTGGTGGCGTGTTGACCACTCACTAATGCATGCTTCCCAAATGTGCATGTTGCATGCAGTGCTGGGGGTTATTTTGGTCAGCTAGGCTGAAGGGCCTCGTCTCCAAAGTTTTGTCTAAGTGGAATTTTGTCACTGTTCCATTTAGATGCACTAATGCTCTCCTGAGGGAGAGGTCTCCAGCACTGGAATTTCCTGTCAGTTGGACAATCACATTAGGAGTGACTGTCCTTAGAAAAGTGTCAGATGTTCTTCTGCAGGGAGGTGCTTTCTAGTGTCAGAAGTGGCTCCTTTTGCCTTGTGATTCTCCAATTGAATTCACACAGGCTGAGGAATTCTGAGTTGAATGAGCAGTTTTTTGGGGGGAAGGCTGAGCCTTCACATTGACCCTAGCTCACTAGAAGGGGCAAGAGGCTCACTGGTTTACTCTAGAAACTCGAAAGTGGGGTAGACTTAGAAACCCTGGCTTGTGTCACCTTATCTACCAGTGAATGTCATAGCACAGCCTAAAACACTGCCTTTTAGCCCAGGATGTAAAGAAGCTTAACTAAGCGTTGTTTCTCTGTAGGCATCCATGACGTTTCAGAGCCAACAGGAATGAATATACAAACATGTACATCGCACCTCAAATGTAACTGTCACAGCCTGAGTGAATTTGTTTAACAGATATGTCAAGTTCTGAGCATGTAGTAAGCATGTTCATGCTTTGGTTACTTCTTGCTGCCTGTCTTAGTGCTTTGCATTTATATCTTGATTTTAGGCTTTCTGCCAATAAATAAAAAAAAACTAAGCGGTGCCATCAAACAATCTGAGAGAACAATACTTGCAAAGAGAGGAGAGAGGGCATGGGAGTTGGAAGATGAAGTCTCTTTTAGTCCTGTGTGTGTTGAATAATGCTATTCTAATAACTTAATATTGTGGTAGAATGATGTTAGAGGGAGAAAACAGCTGCCTCTTCAAGCTGCAAATAGTTTAAGGCAGAATTCAAAGGCATCAATTCAAATGTTTCCACTTCTTCCTATTGTCGTCCCCAATCCTTGCATCCATCCAGTATGCAGCTAAATATGCTTGGTATTAGCATTTAGCTTCAGTTTGAAAGGAAATGTAATTTGTAGTTGCATGCTAATATGAACAAGCTCGTAATGCTTCTTTCCTTCTCCCCTAGTTCACCTCTTATCAGATACAATTCAAGGGGTCACAGCGACAGTCACGGGGGTGCAGTATCAGCAGTCCTGGCTCTGTATCATGTAAGTACCTGGGTTGTTGATTATCAGAACATGCAGGTTGCTCAAAACTTGCAACTACTCCTACTGCAGAGAGGAATAGCAGTTGAGAATACGCTCTTTAAGTTGAGGTGATGAGGCCTTCTCTGACCATCTGTCCTGACCTGGTGGGCTCTCTGAGCATTGGGCTCATTTGCAAACAAATTGCAAGCAGCAGTTTGGGCAGTGATGACCACAGTCTCCACAAGGCATTAAATTGCTGGATGCTGTCTAAATCTAGGGTTAACAAACAATGCTGAAAAAATTCAGAGCCCGGTTATTCTAATTACTACGGATGTTAATTAGGAGCTCTTGAAAAAAGGACAAATGAACTTGATCATGGACTACTTTGACTGCCAAAGCCTGTGACCTTGTACTGAAAGACTTCTTAAGCCCTTTGCAAACATCAAAACCTTGCAACTAGAAATTGAATTCAGAAATTCAGACACTATTCAGACACTGATTGTTTGCTGGCAATTAATTCAGACACTGTCAACACTGCTAAACATTGGAGCAGCCCCATAAGGCAGTAAGGGCTTTGTCACTTAGTGTTTAGAAGCCAGGATGACTTCACCCCAGTTTCCACTTGACTGAAGCTGGGTTGCTTGGTTTTCAAATCATTGTCCCATAGTCAAGCGTGTAGGGTGAGCCAAACTGTCCCTTCATGGAGAAATGCCCAAGTCTGAGTCACTGAGCTAACTGAAACAATCTAACTTCAATCTGTTTCTGTATTCATATGTAATCTCCAGTCAAGTTGTCATGAGATATCCAAGTCATTTATCTGGGAATGGGGTTAACCTATGTTGTGTATATGCCTACAGGCTCTCAAGGAGTATGAGCACGTAGCAAAATTCATAACTGGTTTGTAGGACAGCTGTCACAATAGCTTTTCTTCTCCTAGCAGTGTTTCTGCTTACAGCTAGAAGAAAAGTAGACTATTCTGCCTTGGAGACAGTTGTGTTGTTTTTAATTTTTTAATCACTTACAAAAGAGGACTCCTGCATGTCAGAGGTGTCTGTCCTGTGGAGCAAGTCAATTGGATAATGTCTGTGCTATGTGTACTACTGTCAGCCTCTACTCTTATCCCTGGGATGCTCAGAATAGTTTGCTCAACTGAGGAGTTCACATAGCAAAAATGGTCATTCTATGATTCAACATGGAGGGATTCTGAGCAGTTTGTTTGTGTTGCATGTCACAGATATGATAGGGAATGTGCATGCAACTTTAGGGAGTACAGAGGTGGGAGTTCCTACTATGGCACGTGATATGGCTCTGTGCAAAGCTGTAGAGAGCGCTGATTTAATAACAAGGCACTTGTAGAGGTCATGATACAAATGCTGTGATGATACACATGAAGCTGAAAAGGGTAGGATCAGTATTTCTGTGTAGAAGGTGAATCAAAAGTTTGAATATATCCATGTGAGTAATGCTAGCTTCCATGACAAGACATGATCTGAAAAACAAGCTTGCAGCCTAAAGGTGTCTTGTGCAAAACTTCCTTGTTTCTTCTTTTTGTTACTCTAAAGAGGGAGAAGAAAGTGGTGGGAAAGCAGTGATGAGTTATTAACTGTAATTATATAATTATTGCACTGTATTGCTGCTGTAGCTATTGTGCAATGGATTGAGAATGGTATTTTTAGACCTTACGTTCTTCTTGAAGTCAGATTGCAAAACAACACTGCAAATTCTGAAATAAAAGGAATTTGATGTTGTTTTTTTTTTTTCCTGTGTGAGTGGGAAGAATCTAAGATAGCTTTTTACTGTTTTATATTGCACTTAAATTTAACAAAGAGTACAGATTTAAATTAGCTCTGCTGTTTTCTGTGCACCTTAACTTTTTCCTCCTAGCAAATGAAGGGAGTTTAGGTATCATAATAAGATTATATTAATGAGGAGGAGCAGCTCAGAGATAGAGCTTTGGTAGTACTTTTTCTCCTCAGATGCAATGCAGAAGTACAAGGTTGAAATATTCCTGAAGACAAAATGCTTTTGGGGATTTTCAGTGACTTCTGCAGAGCAGTATGCTTCACGGACACAAAAACTTGCTTCCATTTCTCCCCTTGTTGGAATGAGGGTGTGTTCTTTCCTTTCATTCAAACCTCAGGGAGAAGAGAGGTGGGGAAAACCTAGGGTAAAGTAGCTATTCTGCTTCTGCTGCAATTGATGCTCTCCTGGCAGCTTCAGGTCTGTTAAACCACTTGCAAGGTCAGAAGTACTATCTGAGCCTGGCCACGTTCACGGGACAGAATAAGCTGTTGGAACTGAAGCTCTCAAGGTTTGAATGCTCCAGTGAGGTCCAGGAAAAGAACTGACTTCTGATTCACAGTAGACTTCAGAGATTTTATTTATTTGCAGAATTACCTGTTCTCACCACAGCCTTACCCAGGGTACGTGAGCACATGGAAGCCTTGGGATTCCTTCATTAAAATGCTGTGTAGCTGAGAGCAACGCAGGGCTGCATGCCCCGCTAGCAAGTGGTGCTCACCTGCAGAGAAGTGAAGATTGCTATGTATTTGTATGTCATAAAATTGTAAAATGAGTTGGGAGGCACCTCAAAGATTGCCTGGTTCCAACTCTCCCCTGCCCAGGGTTGCCAACTACTAAATCCAGCACTAAGTCAGACTGCCCAGTGCCCCATCCATCATGTTTAATTGATCAGCTGACATGAGGAAGCTCTGCTTTTAGTAGGAGCTTGTGGAGACACTGATATTCTTTCAGAAAGCAATGATTGCAGCAGGTGCATGTACTGCTGGGAAGAACGTCTGCTTTCTCTAGGAACCAGTTGAATTCACTGTGATCCAGAGTCTGGAAGAGGTAGAGTAGATGCTTTGCATGTCTAGATGGGGAAGAAGCCAGTATAAGAGCTGTTGGTTTAGTCTTGCCAAATTTCAAAGTCAAAGGATAGCCCCCCTTTTCCAGCAGGCACTGTATGGAAAAGTGGCTTTGATTGCAAACATGTCTTATCAAGCCCAATTACTACCCTTATCATGTGACAAGTGCAGATGTGAATGCCCAACATTTTTGTTTCCTGGGATGTGATGTAGAACCTGTAATTCTAAGGGTATTGCAGTCATTGCCAGTGAACTGCTGGTGTCCTCTGTGAGAAATGCCAGCTGATGTGTTATTGAACAAATGCTGCCTGAGCAGAGTGGAACTCCTCAGGCAGTACCACCTCCAGGCAATACTTTTCTTGCCAGGAGATGAATATAATTTCTGCTTTCCAGAATTGAATCCTTTTTTTTTTAAAAAAAAAAAAAAAGAAAAAAACCACATGAAACTGGGGGGCTGCTTTGTAGTCTGTACTGAGTAAATGAAGAACTATTTCCTTTGGTTGGTTTGGACTTTGGTTTGATTTGGTGTGCTGGTCAGTGAAGGGCTTAATTGCAGTGCATTCAACTGATTTGCTAGAGCTGTTTGAACAGGTAAAGCTGGGGAAGAAGCCTCTCTGCAACTGAAAATGCAATGGCTTGTGTCCCATGTTGCTATAAATTTGTTTATTCTCATATAACCTTACTGCAAAAATCCATATGAGGAGGACAATTCAAAATACCAGGTAGCCTTTCAAAACTTAGTAGCTTGAGGTTACTTTGGATATCAAACAAGGCAGCTGTTGAACAGCTTAACTGGACTTTGAGTTCTGGAAACAAGGACCTTTCCCCCAAACTTCAAAGCTGTCATCATTAAGTGCTGCTTGGTTCAAAGTAGTGATGTTTAATGTACTATTGTTGGTGTTAGAGTCAAAACTCCTATGCATGCTGTGTTATTCAAGGGATTTGTGAAATCCAAACCCTTCACTGGGAGTTTGAGTCTTGAAGGAGAGCTGTTGACAAGAACAGTGACAAATCTGAGTGCCTACAAGTGTGTTCAGGGAGGAAGGGGTGGATTCCGCTGCGCTGTCCTGTAGGAAATGCTTTTTCCCTAACTCCCCTGGAGATGAACCACTAGAGAGGATGTTCTTTCTAGAGCACAGTGCGTTTGTCGCTCAGAAATAATCCTCATCCTGGACTGATTTTTGCTCTGTACTTCCGAACCGTCCTAGTGCCAAACTGCTGGTGAGCTGGCCTGCTGGTTGCAGCTCCATTCCTCGCTTGTAAATTCTGCTTTTTGAAAGCCCTGTGCCTGGAGCTGCTTTGCCAATGATTTATTTGCAGTGGATGAGAACAGGCAGTGTCACTATTGTTCTGCACTGGGACAGGAAAAGGTTGGCTAGCTCATTACCTCTACTGGGCATTTTTTTCTTACTGCAGGGGATAATTTCTTTCTCAAATGACTTCCTTTCTTGCCCAGCTTAAAGATGCTTTTTGTTTCTCTTGGGTCTCCATAGTTTGACCCATTTTATGGCTTCTCTGAGAGATATTATTAATCTGATAATATCTTGGGCATAGGGCAGAACTGCGGCATGTGTGACTTTGTATATTGGTGATTTTGGTGGAATGCTGCCAGTTCTCACCATTTAAGTGCCACGTTGGTTGCTGCAAGATATGCAGCCCGGAAGGAGGAGGGCAGTGAAGCAGGAATTTGTGCTATAATTCAAATGGCCATTTTTTTATAAGCTCAGTTATTGGCGAATAATGATGAAACTGCTGAGAATGCAACCTGACATGTCATTAAATCATAACCAAATGTTTCCTTATGTGAGTAATAATGGGTTGAAAATAGATTTTTCTGCTTGTTGGCCAAACCAGAAGAGAATCGCATTTAGCTCCACTTAAACCAAAAAGCAACTTGGAGGCTTTGGCCGAACCATACTTGATTTAGTCAGCTGAAAATGTCTTGCCAGTCCTCAGGCTTCTGGAGGAGCTTTGGCTGTTTACTGTCCAAATGTCTCTCTTTAAGTGGAAATTTACTCAAGTGCTACTCCAGTGACATTTTTAGCCTGAACTGCACAGTTTTACTTACGAATTTGCACAGCTTAAGGCAACTCCATGTGAGCCAAATAGACTTTATTTTCTTTACAAGTATTTGCACAGTTCTAGAAAGGGTTCCAGATTGGGTTCATTTTATCTGACTTACAGAATTAAAGCAAAGAAGTGGGGACAGTAAGTGCTAGAAAAAGAAACAGCTGGATTTCAGTTGGGTAGCTTTGATTCTGGTTTTGTTAAATCATTAAGATTGAAAAAGGCATCTGAGATCATCAAGTCCAACCCCAACCCATCCCCACCATGCCCACTGACCGCATCCCCAAGTGCCACATCTCCATGGTTCTTGAACACCTGCAGGGATGATGACACCACCACTTCCTTGGGCAGCCTGTTCCAAGGCCTGACTGCTTTTTCCAGGATGAATTTTTCCTTGATATCTAACTTGAAACCTCCTTTACTGCAACTTAAGGCACCTTTTGTCGAGCTCAAGCATCTTACTGCCAGTTGAGGGAGAACAGTAGCTGTGACATTCAATCTGAAGAACAAATAGCTGGCTTAATTATAGCCCTATATAATATTTATTTCTTCAAATAACTTTATTGCAATGTGATTTCACATATCATATCCAGGGAGGCAGGCATCCCACATGCTTACTTTTTCTCCTCAGGTAGGAGCAGAAATTCACTGTTTTTTAGCAAGATTTCAGCTCTTGGATTCACTCAAATGTGGAGGAGCAGGCAAACAGGTACTGCTGAGCAGCATTACTGGGAGGTAACAATAAGTTGCACTTATGTTATCACTTGCAAATGTGTTCACATGCATGCCTTGGTAACCTGCCCTACTTCTGGCAGTTGGCCATGTGTTGGTGTGATCAACCCTTGGCCTGTAGGAAGCTGTCTTTGGCTGTGCTTTGGGCTTCAGTAGTTTCTTGAGATGCTGGGAGCTGCTTGATAGATGTGGTAAAGGAAAGATTTGTTTGTGAAGTGTTGGTACAGCACTGTGAGCAATAGGTGTCTAGTATCTGTCTGGCCATTTCTAGAATGGGTATAGAGTCATAGAATCATTATGATTAGGAAAAGCTGTACAAGATCAACAGGTCCAGCTGACAATTATGTACAAAATGTCCAGAAATCCATTCTTTCCAAAGCATTTTTCAACTGAGGTCTGAAAATGCTGAGAAGAGGACAAAAAAAAAGGCTCATTATTTTTTTTCTAGTGTATTAACTATTCATTTTTGTGCACTTCTTCCAATGGATGAAGGTGAGGTAAGAGGAATTAAGGTGTTAGGTCACTTGATTTAGGCTTTCCTATTAGGTGCAGAATTCATGCGTTGGTTCTATTGGTTTCCTGAACCATAATAATCTTGTATGCTGTCCAGCTGCAGCAGGATTGCTACTGAAGGCTTCTGTTTGCTTGTGAAAACTGGTGTTTCTTCCTTTGACATGAAAGGTAAAAATGGCTGCAATTCTGAAGTGTATTGGAGGCCAACTGCAGGCCTAGTGGAAAAAGGATAACTTGCATTCTATTTCCATGACTTAGAGACTTATTCTTAGTGTTAACTGTTTGGATTTTTAAAAATTATTTCTATTCCCACTCCCTCTTCTCTCAAGGCTACTTCAGATGATTTGACTAGGAAGAGGTTAAGAGGGCTTGGTGAAAGGGAAATAGAAAATATGAAATAATGTCCTCATAGTCATAACCTATGTGATTACAATGAAGCTATTGGGTTGCTTTAGGACAAGTGCTTTTCTGAGACTAATATGCATAGGTGACTTGACTTCCTGATGACAGTTTGGAGGCGAACTCAGCATGGAGATATTTGCTGGGCTGATTTGGTTTGCAGGTTATGAACTTCGTGAAGAATGTAATGTGCTTCTAACTACACAGAATCACAGAATCACCGGGGTTGGAAGGGACCCCAAGGATCATGTAGTTCCAACCCCCCTGCCTAGCAGGGCCACCAAACATACACATTCAGATCAGGTTGCCCAGGACCCCGTCCAACCTGGCCTTAAACACGTCCAAGGACGGGGCATCCACAACCTCCCTGGGCAGCCCGTTCCAGGGCCTAACCACTCTCCTAGTAAAGAACTTCCCCCTAACATCCAACCTAAATCTTCCCTCCTTCAACTTAAAACCATTTCCCCTAGTCCTGCTGTTATCAGCCCTTTTGAAGAGTTTACTCCCCTCCTGGGTGTAGGTTCCCTTCAGGTATTGATAGGCTGCAATGAGGTCACCCCGCAGCCTTCTCTTCTCCAGGCTGAACAAGCCCAACTCCCTCAGCCTGTCCCCATAGGGGAGGTGCTCCAGCCCCCTGATCATCTTAGTCGCCCTCCTCTGGACCCTTTCCAAAATCTCAATGTCTTTCTTGTACTGAGGGCTCCACACCTGGACACAGTACTCCAGATGGGGCCTCACAAGAGCCGAGTAGAGAGGGACAATCACCTCCCTGTCCCTGCTGGCCACCCCTCTCCTGATGGAGCCCAAGATCCCATTTGCCTTTCGAGCTGCCAGAGCGCAGTACATATCCTAGTACATAGTAACTAGTACATATCCAGCCAAGGATCTTCAGCTGCTCTGACTGGGAACGACTATCAGGATGTAAAAGCATTAGAATATCTCTTAAAAGGAAAGATGGCCTGGTTTAATGGCAGAGAAATTAGAGGGAAGATGATCTAAGGACTATGATATTGATCTTGCTGGACAAATCAAATGGAACAAGCAATGTGAGTGACTTCAAACCAGAAAAAAATGCCACTCTCTGTTATGGGAAGTCGTACATCAGTATTGATAGGCAGATACATCTCATTGTGCCTTCCAGAGGAGCTGGGAAGTATTGTGAGACTCTAAGTCTCTTTTATTTATTAAGGAGAGCTGCAGTCTGGGCCGGTGATAACTTAAAAGTGTTGGCTGGCTTGGTACAGTTTGTAGAAAAATACCAGCTGAGAGCAAAGAGGGAAAGCCATTCAAACAGATCTGCCCAAGGCAAAAGAGGTGGAAGCGTTTGGCATCTTGCCTTTGCATCTCCAAAAGCATTTTAGAAGATTGCATCAAATCAGGTGTGAACTGTGTTTGTTTAATGTAGGTGTTGGATTTTGAGGGCTACTTTGCAAGAGTTTCTGTAGTACTACAAACAAAGGTACATTGCTATCTCTTTTTTTTTTTTTTTTTTGTTATTAGAAAGCAAATGGAAGAGGGAGAATTGTGTTCAGTGTGTAACCATGCCATCTTTCCCCACAGTTGCACTATAAAGTCCCTTCAGCGACGTCATGTTTGCATCAGTCGCCTTGAGAGGCCTCAGAACTGGGGTGAGAACTCCTGTGAAGTCAGATTTGTGATATTAGTCCTGGCGCCTCCTAAAATGGTGAGTATTCATAGAATCATAGAATGGTTTGGGTTGGAAGGGACCTTTTAAGATCACCTAGCTCCAATCCCCTGCTATAGGCAGGTACACATCCCACTGGACCAGGTTGCTCACAGCCCCATTCAGCCTGGCCTTGAATGCCTTCCAGTCCCTCACCATCCTCACAGTAAAGAACTTCTTCCTAACATCTAGTGTAAATCTTCCCTCTTCCAGTTTGAAACCATTTCCCCTCATCCTGTTGCTATGTACCCTTATAAAATGTCCCTCCCCAGCTTTCCTGTAGGCCCCCTGCAGGTACTAGAAGGCTGCAGTAAGTTCCCCCTGGATCCTTCTCTTTTCCAGGCTGAAGAGCCCCAGTTCTTTCATCCTGTCCTTGCAGGGGAGGTGCTCCAGCCCTTCAATCATCTGCATGATACCTGACTATTTCTCTTCTTCGTTTTCTTAAGCGGATTCTCCCAATGTCATTTTTTGTCTCTTTCTGTAGAGTCAATGGCAATGCATTATTTTTAAGGCAAATGGGGCACCAAAAAGCCTGAGGTTTTCCATGCTGTTGCCCAGACTGTTTATTCCAGATAGTGTACATGTGGAATAGGAGTGCTGTGGAAGGTCAGATTATGCTGAGGTGTTCTGAGAAGCATTTCCTTAGCTTTCCGTACTTGAAATAGCAAGGTTAAAGTTTGTTTGGGTGTGCTTAGTAGTTCCATGTTGCAGACATGTTGAACTAATAACCTGTTAATGTGCTCATTTATTACAATATTGGGGGAAGACATCAAGGTCAATTGGGAATCAGCATCTTCCCTTCCTAGAAAGCACTGGCTTAATCAAATCAGTGTGTCCTGTGAACTAATGATTGAAAGGTTCAAAGCTAAAGACCTTTTCATGCTTAAGCTGGCTGTTCACACCTTGGGGTTACTAAGTCTGTGCTCCTGAGAGGTAATGGGGAGGTTTGGGACCTTGTCTGGAACAGGTTCAGATCCAGTTTCCTGCTCTTCAATGCTATCTGAGTGACCCTGGGACCTTCTGGTCTGATTTGTCTCCTGTGCATCCACCATCACCCTTGTTTAAATGGAAGTAGTGGTGTTTCCTCATTTCTGGCAGATTCTTTCCCACCTGAGCAGTTCAGTGCTTTTGGCATAGATCTCAAACCCAGCAGGCTTAAAACATATTGACGTTCCCTATGAGAAACAGCAGGCAAAATCTGAACCTGCTCACGATTGCATTGATCTTTTAATGTGTGGCAGTGAGCTTATCTCCAGCCAACTACGTGCAAAGCGCCAAACAAGCAGCTCTGCATCCGCTCGTATCCTGAAAGTTTGCAGTTCCAATGGACAGCATCAAATTAAGGAAAGGGAGGGGACGCCAAGCAGAACCACGGTTGCCAATGTGCTTTATTTTAAATCGTTGTATCTAGCCAGCACTAAGTACGCATTTCTGGTACAGCAGTTAAAATAATTAACCTGCTGACATTAACAGATGAAATGAGTCTTTGCTTGGGGAGGGAGAGAAAAAGCCCAGAGAGTGAGCATCTGTTGTACTGAGGAACCTGGATCCTTGTCTTTCTCTAATATGTAGGATGGAAAGACTTGAGCGCTCACAGAGCAAAGTGAGGATGAGAGGTAATAGGTTTAAGTTGTACTGGGGATGATGTCCAGGTTGGGTATTAGGAAAACTCTTCTCAGAGTGGTCAGGCACTGGCACAGCTGCCTAGGGAAGTGATAGGGTCACTGTTCCTGGAGACATGGCACAAAGAGTTGTGGTCAGTGGGCATGGAGGGGTGGGTTGGGGTTGGGCTTGGGGATCTGAGGGGTCTTTTCCAGCTATAATGATTCCATGAGTGCCAAAGCAAGTATAGTGTTAGTAATGATAGGATTAGCATAGTGCTGCCTGCATTTCCACACCTCTGCACTGAGCAGCACTGAATTGCTCCTGAAGAAATTGTTCATCTACTTCATGAATAATAATTGATTTAGATTAATTACATGCTTGTCACTACTTCCGACAGTAAGGCAAGGAGTTAGGAATATGTCTAAAAGAAGGTGGTTGTTTGGGTATCTCGAGCAAAGGCCGCATTATAGCTGTTGAATATAGTAGAAAGAAGTGGGAGTTAAAAACACTTCATCAAAAAGTAGCTCTTAAGGAGCTCTGATTCTGTGTAACTTAGTAGGTAACTTGCCTGCCTTGACCGAAGTATGCAAGCAGTTGAGCAGATCAGTTTGCAGAGCCTGAATTTAGTGGGTTTGTGTGGGGATGAGAAGCTCAGTCTCCTTTACTGTTTCCTTCATGTCTAATTTCCAAAGTGCTAGGAGCAACAGGAGAGCAGGCTTTGGATACCATTAAAACTCATTTCTCAAAGACCAGATCTGTGACTCACAGAAATGTTGGACTGATTAGACACGCTCCTTTTTCATTATTTCAGGCCTTCTGTCCCTTGCAGGTATTTGGTGAAGATGAACCCTGCTGCTTGTGGGTGTTTAACTGCTTTTCTCCTCTGTTTTTCTCCATTCCGGTAGTTGCTTGAGCTGAGAGCCCTGAATCTAGAATCACAGAATCACCAAGGTTGGAAAAGACCTTCAAGATCCAGTCCAACTGTTCACCTATTCCCAATAGCTCCTACTAAACCACGTCCCTCAACACAACATCCAGCCTTTCCTTGAACACCCCCAGGGTCGGTGACTCCACCACCTCCCTGGGCAGTCCATTCCAGTGCCTGACCACCCTTTCTGAAAAGTAATACTTCCTCATGTCCAGCCTGAATCTCCCCTGCCTGTATCTATACTTACGTTGCTGGGATTGTTGCAAAGAAGCAAACAAATTGAGTTTTAGTGCCCAGAAAATAAGAAGCTGATCATGCCTATGTGTACAGCAATCTGTCTCCAAGAAAAAACATCCAGACATCTCAACCTGCAGGAGCCTTCGGTGTCCTTCCACCCTGGTGGCAGTAAGGCTGAGATACCCTAAGGCTAGCAAAGGCTCCTATTTAGTCTCCTCAGCCTTGAAGGGAAGGGTGAGGGGATAAGATAAATGTTCAGTTAGATTCAGATTTGGTTCAAGTCAATCAAGACAGATTGATCTGTATTTCTGGTCAGGGCCTAGATGTTGGTTGGTGTGTCTGAGGGATGTGCCGTTTTCCCCTGGGTGTCTCTGGGATATCGTGCCCAGTGGGGCAAATCAGTAACTTTACCTTCTAGAACTGAAAGAAAATAGCTTTTAAGTATTTCCTTCTCTTTTTAATTCAGAAAAGTACCAAAACAGCCACAGAAGTGGGCCGAACCTTTGCCACGATGTTTTCGGATATAACCTTTCGGCAGAAACTGCTAGAAACCAAAACTGAAGAGGAGTTCAAGGAAGCCTTAGTCCACCAACGCCACTTGTTGACGGTGGTGAATCAGAGACCCTCAGCAATGAGCGACGGGCACATGCCGCACGGTCCTAAGCCACTCAAGGTAAGGCTGGCCAACATTTCCAGCTGTCCTCCCACTACTTTGGTGTCAAAATGGATAAATGCAAGGGTTTTCAGGAAAGGAGTTGAAGCGCCTGTGGTGCTTGCATCCATCAGACTTTCCTAGAGCTCTCAGGACAGAGGTTGCTATAAATGTTTCCAGTATGTTTGCCTACCTTCCTCAGCTCCTGCTGTAAATCACAAGAAAGCACTTCAAAGATGCAGGTGCCGAGGGGATGCAGAACAGTAGGGGGTTGAAATGGTTACAGGATTTTGAATCCAGATGCTTAGTTGTGGATGGGATTAATGGATCACTGTGTGCTGTCAGTCCAAGGTACTTAATCCTTACAATCAGAAGTCTCTGAAGAAGCTGCTGCTTGTCTTTCCTGCAGCCAAAAGACTTCTTGGCTGTCCCAGCACAGTAATTTCACTTAAAAGTTGCCTGTCAGTTCTTGGCTTGGCTTCCTACTGTTTGATCTGTAGCTCTGTAAAACGTTACTTGCTTTGTACTCTAAAGTTCGAGGGGAATGCTGTAACTCCACTTTCTTTTCTGGAATTTCCTGTGTATTGGTCACTGCTTTGCTTTTCCGTTCAGAAGTTCATTCTTCAACCAAGCAGCATACCTGAAAAACAAACTGTATCATCCCTAGCCTGCTGTTCCTGTCCTTGGATTGCAAATAACCTTGAAGCTTTGGGTTGTCTCTAGTGCAGAGACTGGCTAACATATAACTCTTTTAACTGAAGTAGACTTAAGGGGCTTTGACCTGCACATCTGGAAATGAGCAACTCTCTTTTTCCAGCATAATCCCCTTGCTTATAGGTAGCACTTAACTTTGGTAGACACTGTACCAGCCCTTAAGTTTGCAGGACAAGTCCTGCAATGCTCTCAAGCAGAGGTCATTCAGAGTGGTGGTTTTGTAGGAGTAATTGCAGAAAAGTAAGCTTGACTCTTTGCATGTGGCCTTACAAAGATGGTGCTGGTAGAGAATTTGAGGTGTCTTCGTACACACAGGAGAAATTAAGAGCAGCCTATTTAAAATGTGGAGGCATTTCTGCTCTGGTTTGGTGAGCAGAAGGGCTGGATGCAATGTTTGTGGGCCCTGAAGCGGTGTTTTCTGCCTGCGTTGCTGGGCCTGCAACCATGGCCAGGCAGAGCTTCCACAGCTCTGAGCTGGCACAGGGAACAGTGACACTTGCTTCTTTAACACTTACTCTTAGCATTGAATTGCTCTTAGTCTGACTTTGGTAATTCATCGCTTTTTAGAGGTGTTCTGGCTCCCCAGGGATGCAGACTGTGCCATAGTAATTCTGCTTTCTCATGTCTCTTGAAAGAAGCTGCCCTTGCCTGAAAGGGGACTCTCCAGCATCGATTTTGGGAGATAGGCTTTGGACCCCTTCCCATGTCCCTGGCAAAGCTTTGCCTGGACAAGTGAAGTTGAGTTGAGGTTGTAGCCTGTGTTCATCAGTTCTAATGAAAGCCTTATGCAGAAGCCTTCCTCTCCTGTCTGCCCTGTGTGATAGTCCTTTAAAAAGGAACCACTTAATATGAGAACAAGCTCATATGAGACCAAGAGTGTAATTTCAACCTGTGAACCTCCCCTGACTGAAATAAATATCCTAATTTGGAGCTGCTTCTAATAGCAAGCAAGCCCGTGGAAGGGTGAAGTCCTGAAGGCATGAAAAGCTGCTTCCTAACTCCCTTTTTCTCTTGATCCTGTAGTGATGGGGGAGAAATGGGGCTTTAGGGTGTTGATGGAGAGTGGGAGCACAATTAATATTTTCTTCTATCCCTTATAGTACTGACATAGAGAAATAGGCTAACTCAAATGATGGTAGTTTGTGAAAGAGGCATGGAAGGAGATGTAGAATGGAAGGTAGAAAGCTGTGAGCTTGCTGTGCGGATGCAGCAAAAATGGAAGAAAAATGGATCGGATAAGGCCACCTGGGATTGGTGTGTCATGCCAAAAACATGATAGGGCCGTGAGAGAGCTGCTGCCATGAATGGGAGTGGAAAAGAGGTCCAAGCAAACTCTTCCCACTGATAGGGAAAGAAGCAAAGAATGGCAGCCCAAGAGATCACCAGCTCTTGAGGGTGTGAGGAAGCAACTTGAAGAAGGAGGATGAAGTAAATGAAGTGCCAGCGTTGTCCTTAAGATATATACTTTTAAGGGAGGCTCAAACTTAAAAGAGTTCAGTGTTAAGTTAGAGCAAGAGGAAAGTAAGAGGATAACTTGTACAGGATAAACAATGTTCCCCATATTTAGCCACAGATTTTATGTCAGTGGTCTCTATAGAAACAGCACTGAGGTTTAGCTTGACATCCTCACTCCAAGCCAAACTTGCCCACAGGCAAGAAATAAATGCGTAAAGAAAGGTTCAAAGGTCTCAAACATAACCTGCTGCCTCACCTTTTCTCAAATTTGCCTCAGTGTGCCTTGTGGGACACTAAGATCAATACATTTTTGTGTTCCCTGCTTCCTACAAGCAGGCAGCTTGCATGAGCAACCCCATCCTGCTCAGCCTCAGGCAAGCAGTGAGTGTGTGGCTTCTTCCCCTCAAAGGTGAGCTGCTCTGAGCATCCTTTTCCCATAGTCACTGCAGTGAGACAAGTAAACATATTAGTCATTAAAGCCATTGTGATTTGCTGGCTGACTCGTGCCTTTAGGAATGTCTTTCTGGGGGGAGAAATTAAATTGCTTTTTAAGTGCATATGGCTTTGATGTCCAAATATGCCTGCTGATTTGAGTTCATAGTTGTTGTTTTTTCCGGAAATACTTAAAATGCAGTTATGTTATACCATTTGTTTTCCTTTCCTCCTGGTTGTTCATTGCAGAGAGCTGAAACTCTCTACAAGTACTGGAGGTATATTGGCAAAATGCAACAGAATTTGACTTACTTGGGACCTAAGATGTGGTAAGGACTGATAAAAGAGTTAGAGCTTTGAGAGAGCTTTTGCACCTGAAAAACCTTAAGTGTTTGATGTGCTATGGTGTATTCCCTTTGTAAGAGACATTTTCTTATTCTGTTTGATGTTGTGACATGACTGAATTTCCAGGTACTGCCAGGCAGGTAAGAAAAAGCAAAGCTTTGTGTCTGTTGAGAGTGCGGGGCAAGGCCAGTCCTTTCCATAGCAATAGCTTCCATCCATTTCTACATAAAACAACCAAACATGTAGAAAGATTACCTCTGTGCTGGCTTAAGATGGTCTGTTAATATAGAATTCATCTGTGACTTTCTTCTCCCTTTACGCTTCCTTAGCGGTGTCCCTTGTTCTGCAGGAAACATACAATGTTTTTCATGAGGCAGTTGGGATAATTAGCACCGTATTAGGCTGCATTTTCTTTTTGGAATACTGTGTGTACTCTGAATTGAGGATAACAGGGAACCCTGGTGCTTTTCTTAATGATGTAGTTGAGAACTGGGAGGCTGTAAGTCAATAACAGCTGTCTTTTATTTCTGTAAAGCTCCTTGTTGCTTGTGTTACGCATCAGTTCATATACACAAGCATATTGCACCTTGCAGGCCCTCAGAGCACAAGTAAAAGGGAACATGTGAGGTTTCTGTAACCATTTCACAGTGTTCTTACTGGCTTTTAATAGACAGAAACTACTGTTTGATTGTGTAAAGTTACTTCAGCCCATTCCCTTTGAGCTGAGTTGGGGATCTAGATGGTCTTAGTTCCCAGACTATACCAGTTTGAGATGTTCTCTTTTGTGGCCATGCTAAAGGAAAGAGCACAATGTGCAGACCCTCTTACATGTGTTTCATGGGGTTTTTGGGAAGAATTTCCTGGTGGGACATATCAGCAAGTTGTCTGGAGCGGTGGGGGAGGGCTCTTTATCCTTGTGTTTATCCTATGGGTACCCAGATGTTATCCCTGTGCCTGGGGTCTAATCCAACTGTTGGCCAAGGGGTGTCTTTGGCAGGTCTCTTCAATGCTGTGCATCAGCTCCCTCATCTACAAAGCAGGGATGTGGACATGAATAGGATGAGAAAGAGGGAAGGAATGGAGGAAAATAGGGTGGTCTGGGGATTTTTCTCTTACAGTGCTTTTCAAGATATAGTTTGAAGAGTGAAGGGTCTATTTTTATTATCATTACGAAATCCAATTTGAATGCCCTATTCAAAATGACCAGTGTTGCTCCTATCAGTATTGAATAAGGAGGTTAATCTCTTTGACAATACACGAGCCTTTAAACTGACACAGCACTTCCTTCCTTTCTTCAGCTGCATGAGTTTCTCAATGTTGGCAAGGGGATTTTTGATGACATTGCACGAAGATTTCCAGTGTACGCGTTGGACTTCACTGATGGTATGTTGGCCAGTATTTATGGAAACGTTGGCCCGATTTTTGAATTTGTGATATGATGTCCTGTTTACAGTGTGCATTGAATATGTTCTTTGATATGTGTAATAGCTCTCTTAGTTCTTATTTAAACAAGCATGTTGACTAAAGACTATGAATAGGCAGCAGCACACATTGTAGATGAGAAGCTTGCAGTATTCCCTAAATAAAGATGATAGCTGTGTGTAGATGAGGATTTTAATTCTTATTAAGCTATGAGGCGATTAAGTAGATTGATTATTGTTGTGTGCAAACACAGTTCAACTCACTGCAACCTAATTAGTCAGCAGCGGCCTAATAGACCCTTTTTGCTGTCCTTGCAAGCCAGCTTCAACAGTAATTATGGTGATGCAGTGGGAGTAGAGAGTGCTTAAACAAAACCTGAGCTGCAGTAACTTCAGCTCAGTGCCTCTTAAAAACAGGATATAGCTTGTCTTCTGTAGTCAGATCATAGAAGCAGTAACATGATGTTTATACTAAGCCTCAGGTGTGGGGCCCTGTGTAGTTCCCACAATAGCAGTGTTGCTTTTCAGAGTTTTCTCCCCTTTCTACTAGCGGGCTTTTACTTCTAGAGGTTCTTCATAGCCATGAAAAGTCTTCAGAGCAAACCATAACTTCAGAGCCTCTGCCTGACATCAAAGCTTGTTCAGTTCCTTACAGCTTTTGGGGGAGTCTATTAATAATTCAGTCATCTGGAATCAACCCCAAAAAAGTTTGCATAAGCAAAAGATGTAGAGTGTAGGCAAGGAGAATCTGGGAGATCATCAAATGCCTTTCTGCTATTCAACTCTTTAGCCCAAGGCAGAGTTATCCCAGTACACTCCCTGCATTGCCCTTTTGCAGGTGGTGTAAGAAGACAAGGTGCATACCACAAGCGTTTTTGCAGTTGGTGGCACCCATTTTGTTGTAAAGAATGAAATGGAATTTGCTGTCACTTCGTATCGTGGTTGTGCTGGATACCCTTTACAAGAGCTTTGTAACTGCTGGAATGGAACTGTTTCTGTGAGGCCTGAGATTAACAGAGGGCGGCTCTATGTGAAGTCAAGCTTAGGCTATGTTTTTATGGGGATTGAGGGCATATTGAGAAGGAACAGGGTTAAGAAATTGTTTTCACAGTTGCAGCAAGGAGCCTGATGAAAAACACAAACGTGATTTCTTGGCTAGCAGCATCAGATCTGTTAGAGGACATGAGCTCCTAATTTGTACACCCCTGAAATGGTTTCAGGATGCTTTGTCTCCATGGCTATTTCTTTGTAGGGCCTCCAGATTCCAACTGATCATTGTAAGGGGAAGGGAAGTGAATAAGGATCTTGCAGCACAGAGAAACATCCTTTTAGGAAAGCTGAGACTTAGCTGTAGCTACTTGCTATACTTACAGCTGTCCATATCCTGAGTGTGCAGTAGGTTAACAGGCAAAAGTGCATTGTATGATGGTCTTGTAGCCAACAGGCTGACAGCAGGTTTGGGAATCCATTTTTGGGTTCATGTTGATGCTCTGCATGCATCCAAAGTAACTATTCCTCTGCTTCTCAGTCTTGACCCTGCCAACTATAGCCAAGTTGGCAAGCTTTTTGCACACCAGTGCATGCAGTAGATCTAGATTGCCCTAGACAAGATGCTGGGGTTGACTGGCTTGAGAGCACTGTTCATTTGGCTGCCTCTGAAATACTGTCGTGGTGAGAATGCAGCATTGCAAATATTGCAGACAATTGTTCTGGTATAAAATGTAAATATAGCATGTAGTCGTTTATCATGTTATACAGCTCTTGGAGAGAAAAGATGCTGAAGTGAGCTAAGCTGAACTTGAGAACTATTTCAGCCCAAAAGTGAAGTTCACCTTAGAAGGAGTCATGCTCTCTTTCATGTATGATACAGGGAAGGGAGGAGAATTTCTAAAAGCCTGGAAGTATTTCTATGTGCTACTTCCCAGAAACTGGAAATTAAGATAAATTCTTTTAAAAAGATCTCTGTGGAATGAAAACCATATGGAGTAGAAAATATCTGCCATAAACCACCAAGACTGAAGGTGATCAACAATGTGAAATTCCTGGACCATCTCAAAGCAGCAGTGCACCAAAACATTAGGGAATTGAGCTATCCAAATATCTGTACTCCAGACAATCACACGTGCATCATCAAAGAACTTTGAATAGCAAAGATGCCTCTTTGCTGAATGGTTGGAATCTAAATCCTTAATCTGAGAAGCATCCTGGGATTTTGGTTGAGATAGATAAACCGATTAACAGCTGGGTGATAAATAAGGCCTTTGTAGGGCCAGCAAGTATTTTGTCAGTTGGACTTTTTTGTGTGATTGATCTTATTCACATGATGCAGAAAGCTGGCCTTTAAATTATCCTTAGCTATTGTGATGTGGGAAAGAGCAGAAAGGAGTCTTTTTTTAGTTTCCCCCAGATTAGGAATTAGTCAAGCTTAAATTTGCTTTGGATTGTAGAAGTCTTCAATGTCTGAATGTGCAAATAACAAAGAGCTTTCTGGTTTTCTCCAGAACTGATGGTACAAGTGGCTTGTAGTAAACAGATTTTGGTGGGAGCATCTGAAGATGAAAAATGTGATTATGCTGAGCCTAAGGAAAACGTGTGATTTTCCTTTAAAGCTAGGGTTTAGTCAATGTGATGTGTAGTCTTTTCTTAATGACTGCATTATTCGAGGCTCTTTCTTTTTTGAAGCAAAACTTGTACAGAACTTCCTCCTGATCTTGTCCTGTCAACAGTTTCAAAACACTTGTCCTACCAATTACTTATTACTCTAAAATTCAATTGAAGCTTATTAGCTTCTTGAAACTTTTGAATTTTGAGGCTGGTTTGAGTGAAAGAAGGGACTCTCAGAAGATGCCTGGACTCAGCTACAAGTTACTTGCCACCCCTTGAAGACCCTACTCTTATTCCTTGGCTTACGTTTCCTGGTACAACATGGAGGAATTAAAACTGTGGAGTGCTTGAGGAAACTTGAGGTGTCTGAAGCTCTTAAGAGAATTCTCTCTGAACTCTTAAGATGAGCTTCAGTGTTGGATTCTGCTGTATCCCTTCACCTCTCAGGGAAGGAAGGTGAATAGAAGAGGTAAGGGTGAGGTTTGTTATGAGGTTGTTTGCCCCCATCTGTGGTGGGTTGAGAGTTGGCTGGATCTGTTGGCTTCTCCCTGTCCTTGGTCCTGCACCGTTCCCAATCAGTTCCTATGAGAGCTCCTTTGCCAGTGACATCCTCAGGAGTTGGTGGCATTTGTACTTATTACTTGTTTATTCACTGTTCCCTAGTCTGAGCGTATTCTTGGTTTCTCTGCCCCAAGATCAGCTGGATCTACTTTTCTAGTTCTTAGTCTTGTTGTAGTGTGATTTACTCTTTGTTGGACTTAGGGAAGATTCATCTTCTGTGTGTCCTTAGGAAGTTGGGTGGTGTCCAGCAGCTGCTAACAGAAGTAAAAACCCAGCTTGAGAGCTTTAGCAGAGGTTTATAATGTTTTGCCTTTTTATGGCTTACTACGTGGAAGGCTATAGATAGTGTTATTATTAGCTTCTAACCATTGAAAGGCATTTCTTTTGTCAAGGTTTTAATAGACATATCCTTGCTGCTGTGATGCGAATTGGTTTAATTAAGCCTACTTTGCATTAGATATTTCGGAGAATTGGGAAGGAACTTCAGTTGTCAGATGAATCATGGACTGTCCATCTCAAGTTGGATTCGGTAAATGTACAATTAGTAGACGTAAGGAGCTTCAGTGCCAGCCCCTGGACCTGTAAGTCTTTAAATACTGTTGCAGAATGCCAGGCAAAGTGAGGCCAACAACGTGGTATTCTGTGAACCTCTAACCTTGTCATTTTAAAAGAAAAAGTCACTTCTGAAATTCAGGCAAGTAAAATAGAACTGTCATGTTGATGAACATAATCACTTCCCCTTTCAATGTGTAGATGTACCTTAATTTCAAGGGATTGCTCCAGTAATAGTTAATTACTCAAATTTCACAGCTGAACTAAGTTGACTTTTGGCTACAAATTGATGTGCTGCAGTTGGAGTGACACATTTTTCAATGGCTTTATGAGCCTGCTGCAGGTGAAATGCTGTCGTAACGCAGCCCACCTTTTTAGAGATGAAGTAATGACAGTCTCCAGATTGCTAATAAGCCCTGAAAATATGTAGCCAGATGTTGATTTCAAAAAGGTAAAAGGTAAATTGTGACTAATGCTGGAATTTAGTGCTTGTCTCAGTGGTGTCTGTACAACGAGGAGGTACTTGCTCATGATTTTAACTGCGAATAGGGGGTGATCGATAGTATTTATGAAAGGGTACATTAAATTTGATGTAGTTATCTCCATTATGAAGTGAATTTTTCTGCCACCGGAAGGGTTTCTTTGCTCTTTGGATCTCCTGTGACTGAAAATGGACTAAAAGTTTGCTTCTGCTGGGAATCTTGGACTCAGCCATAATGCTGCATAAGGATCTCCGTGATCAGCAAAGACTCCTGCTCTAACAGTTGCTTGCAAAGCAAGGCTGAAGCCAAAAGCCATGCATTCAAGGCTTCTTCTTTCCACCTGCTTATACCATGGTTTAATTAACTGAGGTTTTACAACCTCATCACTTACAAACCTTTCTGTGTTTAGAAAATGACCCTTTTCTTTCATCTGTTGTTTCTCTGTCCTTTTATGAATGCAAAGCTTTCAAGAACTGCTGCTTCTGATCTTTCACACTGGAAAGACTCCTTTGTCCAAAGAAACCTGTGTTCTGGAGCCACGTTGTTCTCAGAGCAAGGAGTGACAATCTCTACTTGTGAAACTAATGCTTAGTCTCCTCTTTGCCCTACAGAACCTTTCATCCTTTCTAAAGGTCTCAGGCACTTGGGAGTGTGAGGTGGGAGCCTGTAGCTGTTTAACTTGATCACATGAGAACACTTTATCTGGAAAAAGAACGTTTCAGGCACTGCGGTTGCCAAGAGTGGTCAGGAATGTGGTCTGTGGTTTCTGAATCTTCACAATACACTGAAAAGAATCTGCCCTGAAACAGCTGGTCCCATGACTCTTGGAAGGTCAGGCTTATATTTGCATGCTTGAGATGTCTCCTGTCAAGTTTCAGCTCTCCCTGTTTTCTTATTACTTTTTTAAGGATGCTGAGCATCGTTCCTATTTGTGTCTATTTCTCAGGTCTGCAAACGGGAGCCTTCACAAGCTGTCCTTGACTCGTATGGCTGCTTGATCATTACACATCTTTCTTTTTTTGGCTTTTGCATCCTCCTTCTGTCTTTATCTCTGCACTGCAAGCGGTGCACGAAACAGATGTTAGATAAGGATCTGGAAGTCATCGAGTGATTGACAATCACTGGACTGAAAAGCAATCAGTTGTGGCAGTGCCCTGATTTTCTGTGTGACACCAAAAGCCTCGGATGCAAAATACCTTTCTCAGATCCAACTCTTGTGCTGGTAGCTTCCTTTGGCAAGAACCTGATGGTAGCAGAGGCTTTGATAGGCATTTGGGAGCTTGGAGGCAGATGGGTGGGAGCTCCCTACTCAAGTGACTTCCACAAAAGGGAAAAATGGATGACTCCAAATCTGCCCAAGTATTTCAGCAGAGGCATCATTGAGAATGGTGGCACAGGCAGACTGAAGGCTAATTGTTGGCTTTTTTTTTTATTTTGGAGGAGATTCTTTCTGCCATAACCATTCTGAGGCTGCTCAGTGGAAAAAAAAAACCTCACAAAAACTTCTTGAGCTTCTTCTTGAGCAATGTCAGCTGTTGTCATCTCGTATCCTTTCCCTCAGGGGTGATATGAGCTCACTGGGGATGGACATCAGCCTGAAAACAGGAAAGGGAAGGGAAGCTACTTCAGAGGCCCTTAAATTCATGTTATGACACTTTAATTCTCTTTCTGGCTGCTTTTGTTACAGCCCGATGTGTTTTTTCCGATGGAGATGAGAAGGGGTGAGTGGCTGGAAAAGAAGCCATTCTTTCAGAAAGGCTTTTTTTAAAGCAAAACTCTATTAATGTACGCATTCCTGACCTCTTGTGCTATTTGTTTTGATAAGTCTGCTAGCGCTAATTGGCTCAGAAAAGCACTTTATTGATTCAAGCCTTATAATCTCAGATTTCTATTTAGGGAGAAATGAAGTGCTTCATGTTTTCCTGCCTTGAGCATTGTGAGTTGCAATGGCAAGTGATCATCACGAAGCTTGTTAGGGCCATAGCACAGAATACCTGTGAAGTTGGTATTAAAAAGGCAGGAGGTGGGGGTTTATGAACATTAACATTCTGACTTCTGCTGATCCTTTTCTGAGCTTCTTAAACTGAACAAGCAGCTCCTAGGATCTCCTGTTTTGGTGATGTCAGGAGTGCCAGCTGAAGCAGCCTGTAATGTGGTGCTGTTGGTAGTGCTTGTTCTGGTACTAGGTGCACAGGAATGCAGTTGTGCAGAAGCAAGTGCCAAAGACTGTCTAGATTCTTAGACTAAAGTGGACTACATTTCTCCTGATGTGTCTCAGTATTAAAAGATCTAATGGCACATATACCTTTTCTGAACAAGGTTTCAATGATTTCCAAGTGTGCAGCACTAACAACTTTTTGGGTTTACACTAGGTATTATTGGAAACAATAAGGCTATAGGAAAATACATCACAACTATGATTTTTCTGTATTTCGCCTGCCTCCTTCCATCTATTGCTTTTGGGTCCCTCAATGATGAAAACACCCGAGGAGCTATTGGTAAGTTTATCCTCTTTCTATCTCTTTAGGATCCCGTGTGTTCAAGTTGGGTAGCCCTAATCACTCAGTTTTTGTAGTTCTTCTTTGCTAAATAAAGCATCACTGAGTGATCTTAAGTTCATGATTTTTCTGAGAAGTCAGGTTGACTATTTGGGGGTAATATCATCAGACCTGAACAGCTGGAATTATACCCTGCCTTTATTAAATAACACTTGCTTTCTAACTATGCAGTGTACTGTGTGTACATTTTTCCCAGGCAAGCTGCTGGATTTTAATCCAAATTTGATTAGCAGTGTACAAAATACTGATAGAGTGGTGGATGTGTTGTTCTGTCCCAGTTGTGTCCCTGAAGCAGCTCATAAGATTGAGTTAAAATTCTGTCCCAAAGATCTTCTGGATTAAACTTGTTGACATCCTAAATTATTACACTGTTAGACTTGATGATCTTTGTAGGTCCCACGCTTGGCTATTCAGTTATACTAGGTGTAGGGTCACTTCATGCTTTCTCACCTCTATGCATTCAAAGTATTCCTCTTATTCATCAGTGAGTCTGCTCTGTGAATACAGAATTCTGTCAATTAGAAGAAAAAATGTTTCTTTCCTTCCTTCCCAATTACTCATAGATGTGCAGAAGACAATCGTTGGCCAGTGTATTGGAGGGCTGCTTTATGCACTCTTCTCAGGGCAGCCTCTTGTCGTGCTCCTGACTACAGCTCCTTTAGCACTCTACATTAATGGTAAGCCTATTAAATGTGTATGCTGGGGGCTGATTTGATTAAGATTAGTGAAAAGTGACTCCGTGTGAGAATCTTGCAACCCTATTAGAGTTCTAGTTGCATTTCTTTTTCTTAAATCAATTGTAAAGGGCTACATTAGGTGCTGAGAGAAGAAGCTCGATGCATGTTTAGTTAAAGAGACTTGGTTTTAATGGAATGATCTGGGGAAAAGAAAAAGTCATGAGAATAAGCATTTGTGCTTCAAGAAAGAAATCTTTTTATCTGGCTACTTTCTCATGGAGCTGCATTTCACCACCTTGATAAGAGCCAGCAACGAGGGATCTTTATCACTCTGATATGGTGTGATAAGTAGCTTTCCAGTTACAGCTGGGAGATTATACTACTGAGCCAGAGATGAAAAGGAGCAAACTCAATCAGTATCTCTAGGAACAATTCAATGGACTCCAATTAAGTTGGGAAATTTTAGTCTGCAGTGCACTGACAGAGTAAACGTGGTCCAAAAACATGCATGAGATCCTTTTCTCAACAGCACCTGAGTTGTCATAAAGAGCAAATTCTAAGCAGGATTTTGTGGCCTTAATACGTAGGAAGGATGCTTTGAGCAGTGTGGGAGAATGTTTTCCAAATATTTTTTGCTCTATTTCTAGTGGCTGGGGGAGAGGAGGAAAAAAAGACTGATCCAATGCTTGTACATGGAGTATAAGAACAGATTTAATGGTGTCTGCTATAGGTGTGGTTGGGCAAAGTCTTAATTAGTTCTCTTCTTGCCATCAAGCAAATGAGAATCTCAGCTTAATCTGATGTGTGAATGCTTCAATTCTGCAGTCATTCGAGGAATCTGTGATGACTACAACTTGGATTTCAGTGCTTTCTATGCTTGGATTGGACTGTGGAACAGCTTTTTCCTTGTGATGTACTCCCTCTTTAATTTCAGTCTTCTGATGAAGCTCTTTAAAAGGTAGCTATTTTCAAAAAGTTGTATTTTGATTGGATTATTCAGCAAATGGAAAAATTACACATTCCACAAGCTCCTTAATTACAAACTTGCTGCAAAATGTATTTTGAGAGATGAAGCTCGTATCATTTTGGCTTATTGTTCCAGCTTGAAAAGAAGCTTTAAAAGATTCACTGGGTTTTCTTTCCTGAGTTAGAGTCTAACTATAATTTGTATATTTTGATGTGAATGCCTGAATATGCTGACTTTCTTTGAATGGAGTTGAATGCATGCTCTGCTAATAGCTGTATTAATTCATGGAATTTTTTCACAGGTCAACAGAAGAAATAATTGCACTTTTTATATCAATCACTTTTGTGCTTGATGCCTTCAAAGGTATTATTAAAGGTAAGTCTTGCAACAGTATTCTTCAGTCCAGATCTCTGTTTTGCTTTGTTGCCACAGGGAAATATGAGGCTGCAAATATGCATGACATTTCCTTGATCCATGTTCATTCAGAGTCTTCAGGAAAAAATCAAAGTGCTTGAGACACAAGCAGCTCTCTGTCAGCAGTTTACTTGGAAATGCAAAATTTCTATTAGCTCTCATTTCAGTTGGCTGAGATGGGATTAGGTAGAGAAACCACACCAAGGTTTCAGTGAGAGTCTTCCCATGCTAAAAAGTCTTATTTAAATGAAGAGTTTTCTCCACACCACATTGTTGAATGGGAGGCAAAAGATATGTTGAGATTGTCCATCCTTATGAGCTGAGATCTCCTTCTCCCTTAATGGTGGCCTAGTGACTGTAGTGCCTTCGAGCATGCTCCCAAACTATTCATCCCTTTCCAGCCACCACCTGCCCATTTATGGGTTAATCTGTGTACTCACATGAGCAGCCTTCACGTTTCTATGGCACTCTCAGTTAAAAGTTAAAAGCTCGGTGAAGGAGGGAGCAGCTCTGGGATATTTTGCTGCTTAAGATGCAGCTCTGTGTGGTACTTGAAGTGTGTCCTGTCAGTGCCCTGCGCTGCAGGCATGGAGCATTCTACCTGTGGCACTAGGCTGTTGTTCAGCAGTATTGAATTGCTCTGTGAAAATCAGTATGTGTTTGCAGTCGTTCTGTAGTGTGGAGTTAATTCTGCATAGCAAAGGCATGGGATATGGGTTAAAGGTGAGGAAAGCATCCATTTACCTCTGCTACCAAACTTTCAGGAATATGGGAGTAGTAGCTCAATCAGTGCATTGCACTGGGGACAGTAGAAGAGGCTAGATGTTAATGTAATTAGTGAATTAGCCTAATTAGTCTAATTTTCCCTTGAACTTGAAAAGGGCTGTTTATATGAACAATGGTAATAAAATCAAGCCAGCACTCAGCTTGTTCAGCAGCTCCTGTTGGCTTGAGCTGCATCTGGGAGCACTGAATTCATCAGCAGATGAGACCCCATGTCCAGCCAGGTTCCCAGGTGCAGAAGGGCAGTGATGTTGGCAGGCACAGCCTTGATCCTAAACCCTCTTGGTGCTCATATTTAAACAGATGACACCAGTATAGCCACGTGCTCATCTTTCCTCTTCCGCTCCAGTCTTATAGCAGGAGGAGATACTTGCTCACTTAACTCTCAAAATAAGGATTGAACAGTTAGGTAAAAGGAGAAAGCTGGCATTGGTAAAAGCTATCAGCAACATCAAGTCTTCCTTAAGGCTAAAGGATATGTTCCTTTTGCTCAGATGTATTTTCCTTAGCCTGCTGATAGCCTTGGTTTTTGCAAGGTACTATATGCACGCAGGAAAGAGATGGGGGAGGGCTGCAACCCTGTACAGAGGAATTGGGCCAGGTGCACCAGCCATCCCCACTGACACTGTTTTCAGTGTGTGGCCCAGCCACCAAAGCTGTATTTGTTTGATCTTGACATCTGCACTCTGCAGGAAATGACGACTGACTGGCTGAAGCAAACAACACAAGTTAATGTTGTTGGAAGGAACTTGAGCGTGCGCTGGGCTTGAGGATGGCTCTGTTTCAATTGGAGCACCACCTGCTTTGCTCTGAATGGGGCAGCAAGATCCACGTAGCTCTCAGTTAGAAAAACAACCAAAAATGACAAAACCTATAGCAATTTTTTTAGTATTTTATAGCAAGTCGTTCAGAGAAACGCCCTCGATATGCTGCTGCCTTGACACATCCTCAGTGCACTAAAATAGAAGGGTAAATAAGACAGAATGCTTCTTCCTCTTATATTTAGGGTTAACTGGAGCAGCCCTACCCAGTTTTGAGGTGGGTGCAAATTCAACTGCAGCCTGAGAGGTGGTGCACATATCTGTGATCAACCCTAAATCTATTAAAATGTGTGAGAAATGCAGTATCCCTTGGGGAACTGAGAAAATCCCCAAGACTCAAAACATTATTGTGTAAATAACTTGAATTTTTATTTGTATGATTTCGAATCTAAATAGAGGCGTGTCAGTGTATTCTGCATAGCACATGCAATTCTGCAACTGCTGGTTTATTATAGGCTCAGTAATTGTGTACATCTCTAGGGCTTAGTGACTGTGAGGGTCTGCTTAGACAGTGAGCAGGCTTTCAGCCCTGATCAGCTACTGATCTCCAGTAATCATTTCTGTGATGACAAAAGCATCCTTCATAGTATTCAGAGCCAGAAACAGCAAATGCTCCAACGACTTGTCTCATGCTAGTTGCAGCAGTGCTCTGTGCCTCAGTTTACCTATTTGCAAAGCAGACCTGAGTGTCCTGACTGGGCTGGATGCAGCTGTGAGGATAGGGAGGAAATAACAGCAGAGCCTCTTCCGCAGCACGCGATGCAGAAGTGCGCGGTGTGAAGGGAGGTCGTAACGGGGTTGCTCCTTACTGGGGGAGGTTCTCATAATTAAAACTGCAATGTTCTCCTCCTTTCTGGCTCATGCTGAGAACAGCATCAGAAAAAAAAAACACCCAACGAGGTGCTTGGGGTTTTTCATGGGGTGGAAAGAGTGCATGGTACAGAATGCTATGAAAGTCCAAAACAAGCAGTTTTGGACTGAGATTGCTGTATTTTTGTCTAAAGGAGAAGCTCTTGCCCTAAACTTCTGAGTTTCCTTTGTGAAGCCTGAATGAGTATTCACAGGAAAAGAAAGCAAAGAAAGGCAGGGGGGCTACCAAGCTCTGACATGGTGGTTTCCATCCTCCCATGTTTCCCCTGTCAGGGGAGAACCAGCTGTCTGCTGGCTACCAGTGGCAACACAGATTCATTAAGGCTGGGAAAGACTTCTAAGAACACCAAGTCCAATCCATCCCACCATGCCCACTGACCACATCCCTCAGTGCCACGTCTCCACGGTTCTTGAGCACCTCCAGAGACGTGTCTGTGCCAGTGCCTGACCACTCTATTGGAGAATAAATGTTTCCTAATATCCAATCTGAACCTCCCCTGGAACAACTTGAGGCCATTGCCTCTCATTACCTACTTCTTGTAGGAAGACTACAAGGGCCAACCCCCATCTGTTCTCACTTCTTCTTTGTGATACCTGCAGGCTTTTACTCCAGAAAGAGGCAAAATTATCCCAATATTGCGTTTGTATGCTTGAAGCCTGACAATGCCATACAAAAGGGAACTTGACTAAATACTGAAGAGCAAGAGTACACTTAGAACTGTTAATTACTTGTATAAATGACTCTTAACTGAGCTAAATCTAATACATTTATGGGCAGTTCCAGAGGCACTACTATTTCACTTGTTCAGGTTTACTTCAGATGCTTTATAACTCTATCTCAATTTGCAGTGTGATTTTTAAATGTTCTGCCAGGTTTTGCATATCATTAACACTTATCTTCAAATCTGGAGCGGTCCTGGAGGAAAAGTAATTACTGTGCATTGTGCAGTCCTCTTAAGGGTCTAAGTAGCCTGTCTGCTCTTAATTTTTTGATGTAATTTTTTAGCAGCCTGCTGAAATTTGATGTCTGTTTATGTTTAAGAGCGGTGATTCCAATGAGAGGAGCAAAATAACGTAAATAATTAGCGCTATAAGTTCTTACAGTTCATATCTGTTGCTTCAGATGAGTGTAATTTTCATTTGGTGAAAAGGAATGAAAAGAAGAATCTGTCAAGTGCTGTCTTTGTAAGAGAGGCAGCTCTCCTGATTTCTTTTCTCTGGCTTGAGGGATAGAGCTATAAACCTGGTGAAGCATAACGTTAATAATACTGCATGATCAAGCAAGAAAAAAAACACATTATTTTACTTGCTCTGATTGTCACAAACCTATCCTAATGCTTGCCTGTTGGTTGTTTGTACAGTTTTTAAGAAATATTACTACCATGGGCGCACAGGAGACAGTTACTTGGAAAAAGCACGAACTGATGCTATTCCAAGCCTCGGCATCAATACCACCTTCTTGATGAATTCATCAGTGAGCAGATCCATGTCCCTAGAGAATCAAACAGGCACGCATGATGTGCATTATGGACGTGAAACTGCCGTCCTTAGTCTCATGTTGATGCTGGGTACCCTTTGGCTTGGTCATACGCTCTATCAGTTTAAGAAAAGGTGAGTTACTTCAGCCTTAGAGCTCAGACTACTGATTATTTCGTATTACCTGTGAGGCATCAATAATGGTTTAGGTCCAAATTCTTGTAACCCGGTGAAATCAGGTGGAACTCTCCCATTAATGGTGGTGGTGGTGGAAGCCAAAACCAGATGTGACCTTGGCTGGCCACCTGGAAAATGTTAGAGCAAGACAAAATGTTCTCTCACTGACTGATGCCCTTCCGTATTTGATTTGGCATCACAGGTGAATTTTTGGAAAGCTTTGGATGAATCATATTAAACATTTGGAACTTGTAACTCTCCCCAAATAAGCATTAAGCCGTTGTTGGGGGGTGAAACTCCTGATGGTGTAGGAAAGCCTACTGGGAAGGTACCTCTGTTGTGCTCTTGGAAGCCAGGTGCCCAGTTCTAATGTGGTTTTAATACTATTGCCTTTAAAACTCTTTGGAATGGCCAAGCAAGTAATTAAAATTGCTATGAAAATTAGATGCCAGTTGATGCTGGAGGACCAGCTTGTGTCTTATTTTCTTGTTCTTTCTGGGATTTTGCTTATGTATTCATCAACCTTCAAGGATAGATTCCACAGGGTTTAGGCTGAATTAAAGACTTTCTTCACCTCAAATGTCTCTTTAGAATGGTAAGATTGGACTGACTTTTCATTTGTTAATGTTAACACTCTGGATTGGGCAACTGTCCCTTCAGTGTAATGTTGATGGAAGTTTTCTGTCTTTAAATTACAGCCCATATTTGCATGCGAGAGTCCGTGAAATTCTGTCCGACTGTGCCTTACCCATTTCAGTGTTGACTTTTTCTGTTGTGGGTTCCTATATCTTCAAGGAAATTGAAAGTAAGTTGTGTTTTTATTCTTTGCAGTGCTAAGGGACGCTATTCTGTCTGCAATTCAAGAAAAAGTTGAATCTGGGGAAGTTTGGCTACAAGTAAATAAATAATAATCTACGTTCCCCCATATAATATTACAGACACTGTTTGTACTGCCTCCCACTCCAGGAGTTCTAATTTCATCAGTCTCAGATATAAGTTATTTGAAACCATAATCAAGCAGGACTGGTTAAAGTTTTCTCTAGATGAGTTATTTCAGCCTGCCTTTTCATTTAGTTGTGATTAAGGTGTGTATCTCTTACAATAAAGAGAATCAACAATTTCTGGCAAAGAACAAAGGGCAGAGTAATTAGCAGGCAGGAAGGGTTTGTTGCCAGTTGTGCAGACGTAGAGTTGATGATCCCAGTCTGTCCTCTTTGTCTCCACTTGACGTTTTCCTAATGTAGGTGAAACAGTGCAGAGCATCTGGGCAGTTGTAAGTTACATGAGGAAATCTAAAAATGATACACCATTCATTGGCCACACTGATCAGCTTTTCCACGTCAGGAAGTGATAATGGGGACAGGAATTGCATTGTCCCGTGGTGACGTGAGTGGGTGATATGAGGAAATGTATGGAAACGCATAAGAAATGGCTTTTTTTCTGTGGTGACCATTCCATTCAGTTGGATTGCAGAATGTTTGGCCGTATGAAATTTACCCGTACTGATAGATATTTTTTTTTTCCCCTTGCAGAAAGCAGGGGCACAGCTTGTTGCACATGGGGAAGTTTTATGTAGAATACCTTGTCAGCTGATGAACAGGAGTCGACTGCTAGTTAGAAGTATTTCTAATGTAAAAAATGCTTCGTGTCTGTGGAAAATGAGTTCCCCTTTTTTTCATTTGTTCAAAAAAGGGAATGCCTCACTAGAACGAGCCGTAACCCAACAAGTCAGGATGGTAGCCAAGCTCTTAGGGGATGAGGAAAACTGAACTATAGCAGCCACATAGAGCTGTCTTCTATGGCCTTCTGGCTCCCACGTGTCAGAGTATCACGGCTTACTTTGTGTTGGTTCCCTGTAGATGATAACGTGTGTAGAACAGTGTGAGTCTTTGTAGATGGTTTGGTAAGAAAGCACACCCTAATTTCATTCCTCTCCTCTTTGCAGTGTCCAAATTTAACTACAACCCATCTGAGAGCTTGTTTGTGCTGGCTCCTGTCCAGTCCCTCTCCATTGGTTCGGTGATGAGTGCTATGGGGCTGGGGTTCCTCCTCTCAATGCTCTTCTTCATAGAGCAGAACATTGTGGCATCGCTCACAAATGCTCCAGAGAACAGGTAATGCTTTCAACTTTCTGCTGTCCCTGTGATGGGAAACTTCTTCCTAACCTATTGACCTGTACCAGTGGGGTCTCAACTAGTGCTGCAAAACAAAAGGAAGTTCTCAAGTTATGTTCTACACCTTGCTCCTCGAGCAAATCAGTCTTCTGATAGCTTTATCCAAAATCCAGCTTGACTATTGGAATATTCAGGACACCAGGAGAACTTCTCATCACCATCCCCCAAAACCTGATATTGTAGCAGTGAATCAAACAATAATGCAGAGTGCTGATGAGCTCAATGCCTCTGCCTGTTTCTTCTTTGCCCCTGTGTGGAAGTTTTGTTGGTATTTGCTATGGTTTTCTATGGATGTACATCCAGATATGGCTTATGGAGCATCTGATCCGTGTGGATATGTGCACAGCTCTCTCAGAAAGGATGCTTTTTTATAAATGACCAGTCAGTGATTTGCACAACTATCATTAGAGAATTAGGAGAGTGTTTGAAGCTATTTATCTCTAATGAGAATGGGGAAGAGAAGTAAAATATTATATCTGATGTAGCTTCACTTTTATCTAGTAGATCTGATTTGTGTTTAAAGTTACAAGATTATAAAAATATTCATTTCTTTTTCTTCCAACTGCAATCAGATGATATTGAAAGTTGAATGTGTGTGACTTTCTTTCCAGAAAATACCGTGTTTCAGGGTTTTTCACTGGTGTGATGTGTGAGAGGGTTCTCCTTGAACACTAATTTGTGTTATAGTCCATGTTGTAGATAGAGTGATACAATTAGAAGAGAAAAGATAAGCTCAAACTCAGTTGAACCAATTTGACTTTCTTTGACTACATGGTTATTCCTGTTATCTTGATTATATCATCCCCCTTTCAGGTAAAGCATTACATAAGTTTGTAATGTAAGTGGGTCATCTTTATCCCAGTGTGGGTTGTTGTTTCCAATAGGGTGCCCTTAAGGAACGTAAAACATTTTGTATTTCTTTGTAGCGTTTTTCATAATGCTGTGTACAGAGCTGAGCTTATGCTGGTCATGTTTCAGGGCAGGGGTGTGGAGAGGAGGAAAATAGAGCCTGACAGCTTGCTCTGTGGTGTCATCACAGAATAAAAATTCCATCACCTATTGCAACCAAAGAGAATACGGTTTTTGGAGTCCTACTAAATATAGCAGTGTCTTCCTGTAGAATGAGCAGGGAAAATATGCTATGTACCTGAGAGCATGCTGCTTTGCTAAAGAATAATAGAAGAAAGCTATGGGACAGTCCAAGAGGTAAAATAGACTGGTTGGATAGTGTGAGAATAACCCAGGGTAAGACACCTAGAGCTATTGTGTGTGTTGAGCTAGGCAGAGCTCAGAAGCATGTGCGTTGAGTGTAGTCAATGCTGTGAGATTGAGACAAGTATTAAAACAATGCTGGCACTGAACATATGGTCTCTGTACACAGAAAACCCTTTGAAAGCAGCAGATAGGACAAGCAGTGATGACCCTGTGGGAGGTGGGTGATCCCTGTGCTCTGAGAAATCAGCACATGGGCAGAGGCTGTGCTTTCAAAGTATAAGCCAACACAGGAAGAGTGTACAACCCTCCTGAGCCCCACCCTTCCTGCCAGCATCTTCCACCTTCAGAGGCAAAGCAGTGTAGACATCCATCTGACTGAGTCACCCTGTTGCCTCCTCCCTCAATGGAGGTGAGCACTTTCAGTATGACGTGTCTTTGTTCCAAAGCTGAACTCCACCTGAGAGTGCTGTTTTCATACCCATAAGGCAATCTTTCTGTGCTGGATTGTTTGCTAGATCCAGGTACCTACTATCCCGGAGCATCTGAGATGGCCCCAGGTCTCTGCTTAGGTACTGTTGTGTGTTAAGACACCTAAATGATATCTGAGCACGCCTTGTAGTTGATGGTGCCTGGAGAGCATTTCAGCTGATCCTCTACTTGTGTCAGAGAGGGCCCAAGTGCTATTTTGCTCTGATACCCAGAGACAGAACGATGACTGATGGACCCTTAACTTAGGTAACACAGTCTGAGGGCTGAATTTCCCCACCCATAAAAATGTAAACTTGATTCAACTTGTTTGAGCACACAGTGGTATGTTTGGGAAGGGGACCTTACAAAAAATCACAGTGTTAAAAGAGCTGTGAGTTCAGTGTTAGCAGCTGTTCTCTATGGAGCCCAAAGTGAATGTGATGTGGCTAACACCTTGGTTAACATTCCAGTTTAAGGGCTGTTTTCCCTCAAACTAAAGTGGGGGGAGGGTTTGCAGCGTTAACTGAAGTTAGGAGCTTATCTCCTGGGCTGACTATTGAGGAGGAGCTGAAGTTTAATGAATTCATGTCCTATTTTCTTATCATGCAGAAGCAATAATTGTGGGAGATGACTGCAGCGTATTAAGCGTGCACTCAGCTCCTGGGTCTGCTTGTGGGGAAGGAGAGAGATCAGGGATAGAAGCAGGGCAGATGAGGAAACTTCAGTGTTGCTAGTTTGACAACCCATGCCCATGTCAGCTCTGTTAGCAGGCGTACCTGTATATTTTGAGTTGACTTAGCAATAAACAATAGTGGCAAAATGTTGATGTGAGTCTTATGGGCTGTTATTTTAGCAGATTGCCTTTTAGCTCAGCGTTGTTCTTTCCAGAAGTTGATTGCTTTGGGAGAAAGCTATCAAGTTCCATTACAGTTTGTGTTCATGTAACATTAGCTGTAAGACAGGAGGTGTGTAAAATTGCTCAGTGCATGGAAGTGCACTTGGTTTAACATTCAAGCTGAGGTTCAGGAAGAGCAGCCTTGCTGCTGTTAGCACCAAATCTGACAGCTCTCAACCGTACCCCGTTTCAGGTTGGTGAAGGGAACAGCCTACCACTGGGACCTCCTCCTTGTGGCGCTGATAAATACGGGGCTGTCCATCTTTGGCCTTCCATGGATCCATGCTGCCTTCCCTCACTCTCCAATGCACGTCCGTGCTCTGGCCTATGTAGAGGAGAGGGTTGAAAACGGGCACATCTACGAGACGTAAGTAGGAACCTCAAAGCTACCATGGCTCTCTTTGGTTTGATTTGTGCTTTCCTTATGCTTTGGGTACAATGGGATATAGAGTATGGTTGGAGATCTAGCTGTAGTCTTGAATGCTCTGAGAGATGAAAGTGGAAGGGAAAGTGGACCAAACAAAGCCACCTCAGCTGCTACGGTTTGTTGCTCTGCTTCATCCCCCTTCCCCGAATCACTTGTTCTAGAAGAGCCACAAACTCGTGCTTTTCTCAATGGCAGGAAGTAGCCTGAAGGAATTCAGCAAATTTAGGTGCAGAGAGTCAGCCAAGACCTTCTTTGCTTTTATCTCTGTGTGAAGCTGAGATGTTTTGGCCAGACTTCTCTAGATATCTTCACCAGAAAAAATCCAGTCTGATTCATCCCGTGGGACCTGTCTAGTGGTTATTACAAAGGATAGGAAAAATGCAGCAGCATTTCAGAGCTCCTATGTTCTTCCACCATGCTTTGGAAAGGCAAGAGGCTTATTAAATTCTCTTTTCCTTAAGTAAAAACCATGCCTGGGTCACACCATTCTATTTAAGGCAAGATTTTTTTTTGCTGCTCTGAGTTGTCAAATACTTTCTTATCAGGGTCTTATTTAAGAAAATAATAATTAAAAAATCCAATTTCTTATGAAACTTCCTCCAGAATAGAGATTATCTGGTCCGTTTGATCTCGGTACATTACACTCGAACGCTTTTACCTCAGAAGTGGTAATTTCCACTCACATGCCACTAGTTTTAATTATGCTATCTTTTTGTTTCCATTTTCAGAATCCTCACTTCTCATAAGTGAGACTAAGTGGTCATTTACTTTGGGGAAATAGAGTGGATCTGTCTTTTAATTTCAATCTTGCCTCTATGCTGTTATGTTCTGGGCCCAGCCCAGTTGGGCTTGTCTGCTTTCTGGGTTGCTGGTAGATATTTCACATGACATCCATATGTTGCTGTTCCCTGCAGTGCTTTTGTAGTCCTCTGTTGGGATATCAGCTCCTGGGCTCATATTCCCATTAGGATGTGTTGGTATTAGTTGTTCCTACAACTGTATCTTTGCTTTGAATCCATGGAAAGCATTATGTTATGAGAAGGGGGGAAAAAAAGAATAAAACTTGAGTTGCTTTAATGGGGTTTGTAGGCTTGTATTCATAGACTAAAATCATTAAATTGGAAAAGACATCCAAGGTCACCAAGTCCAACCCACCCCCACCATACCCACTGACCACATCCCTCAGTGCCACATCTCCTAGGGTGGTGACTCTACCACTCCACTCCTCTTTGCCAGTGCATCACCATTCTCTTGGAGAAGAAACGTTTTTGGGATCCGTCTGTTTCTCCTGATGCATTACAGAAGAGATTATAGACAACTATAGTCCAGGAGATGCATCATTTTCCCTTTGAAACCCATAAGCCAAGCCTCCCTATTTTCTGCTGTCAGATACCTAGTGGCTCCTTTCATCTTTTGCCACCCACTGTCTTTATGCTGTGCTGTTTTCTCCTGGCAAAGCTCAGTTCCTTGTGCAAATTAAGGGCCTTCTGTCCTTGTCCTTTGCTCTGTCACCCAGCTGCCCTCAAAATAACAGGGGAGAGCCCTCCTTTGCTTTGTTAACATAGATGTAGGTCCAGTGATTACCCTAAAAAGAACTGAGAGATGACCTAATCTCTCTAAGTACTTTCCCTTGTGGCACTGCTCTGCCTCTGTGTAAATTTGTGCTTTGAACCAAATACAGGGAGCAAAGACAGGAATAAGGGCTGCCTGCTTGTCTGAATTCCCTTTGAGACTGAAGCTGCTTGTTCTCTGCAAAGCGCTGAGCCATAAACAGGAGGCTCTGAGCAATGCTGTCACCTTTTTCTCTTAGCTCTGCTGAAAAAGAAAACGTACCATAGCTCAATTAGAAAATCGGGAGTTCTTTTGGTGCTGACTCCCTTGGCAGGTTCCTCTCCTGCATTCGAATCAAGGCTCCATGAGGATGATGGCACTAACAGGAATAAAGCTCCGTCACAATGAAAGCGAAATTTTCTTCTTCTTCCCTGTGGGTGAACCACTTGAATTTGATGGGAGTCTGGCAATCTGCAAATAGGCATATGGAGGAGGTGGGGAATGGCTAATCCCATGCTAACCATTTTAAAGGATCCTAGGGAAACGAGCCTGGATTCTGCTCTATAATCTGTTAATTACATCATTTCCATTGCAGTACAGACTTTCTGGAACTGCTTCCTCAAGAGACAAACCAGATTCTGAACTGCTTTTTTTTTTTTTTTCCTGGAAGTTAGAAAGGTGCCAGAGTTGGCAAAGGAGCATCTGGAGGGTGGGAAGTTCAGCTTCAAAAACATGGGGTTTGATAAATAATGAGCAGTTCTAACTATTTTGGCAAGGGATTCCAGGCTACTTTATATGGCTTTAACAGCAAGTGAGCATAGTTATTGCAGAACTTATGTACATTCAGACACTCCTCAATGCTGTGACTGCTGCATCCCTAAGAGAAGACAACAAAATGTGATGAGCTTCAAAAATCTGTTACCAAAAGGCTGCTGCTCTGGGCTGTTCCCATCCGTGCAGGCTTATATCTTATTGAAATGTGTTGGTTTCATATCTAGCTTTGATCCTGAGCTCTTCAGTTTCCATCATTGCACTCACAAGGAACCTAGCAACCTTGTGTATGCTCTGTTTGCAGATTGTGAACATCTTCTTTTTCCCAAAACAAGAAATGCTTCCTTGGTAGCTTGCCCAAAGGCAAAACTAGGGGAGCTCTTACTGCACACGGATGGACTGAATCACTTAGTGCATCTCTTCCCTCCTGCTTTACTGCAACACTCGAGAGGCTCATAGTGGTTCTGATGGCACTAAAGTGGTCTGACTGCTCCTTATTGGACTATCAGATTAATCTGAAATAGCCCCTGCAGTTGCACTTAAAGCTTGCTTGTCTCTGTCTCTGAGACTTCTGTTCTGCAGTGATGCAGGCCTGGAGGCTGTGCAAATGATGCCAAATGATATCCCCCAGCTGATGTTCCTGTTCTTCCAGAGCTGATGGAGCAGTTTGCAGATAACAGGGGGAAGCAGCTCTCCTCCTCTGGCTTCTCCAGGCAATGGGAGGGACATCCCATTAAGAAACTTGCAAAAGTGTGTTTGGAAGGAGGAAGGCTGTGGTTTTGACTGTTTAAATTCAGATGTGAAGGAAGAAGGGGAGTTCCACAGAGGTTAATACCTCCTGTCTCTTCTGCGTATCCTTTTTTGGTAATCTTGGATGACACATAGAATCTGCCTCAACACTCACTGGGGAATTTAAGTGTTGTCCTCAGGACTTGGTGTTCTGTTTGTAATAGTTGTTATTCCTTAGGTTTCATGTAAATTCTGTGTTATCCAAGTGCTAAGAGCAAGCCTTGGCCTGTTGTGCTTTCCCTCAGACCCTAAATGAATGTGTGGAAGATTCCTTCATCCAGCTCCCCCACAGCATCGTTACGTTCTTGAATGCAAAAAAAAACAAAATTTCAGATGTTCAACCTGACCATGTTTAAAAGGAAGGTTCTCAATACTGAAAGAATTCACTGAGAAGGAACCTTCTTTAGTACAGAAGGGATTACGAAGTGTCAGCAGTACTTGGAAAAAAGGGAAATGTTCTCATAGATCTTGTGCTAATCCTCACGGTGCTTTGTGTAGAGAGTTAATTCAGAATGTCTTGCAGCCACCAGATGATGCCTAGAGAGCCTGTGGCAAGAGTTTCACCAATAATAGGGGATTTATTCACCCGCTTATACTGTGGATTTATCTTCTAAATATGTGTATAAGTATGAATTACATTAAGAATCTCTTTTTTTCTCTATAAGTACTCTTGAGAGATGAGGGTTTTGTTTGCTCCCATTGTTTTGGGCTTACATTGAATGAAAACAAAACAAAACAACCCTCTCACCCCTGATTAGGCTCTGGAAGTTGCTGCACACTTTTCTGTCCATCTTTTGTTGCTATTTATTAAAAATTGTTCATAAATTCTATGAAATTTGCACTAATGAATTATAAGGTCTACATGGTGGTAGGCAATTCACAGCACTGCTGCTGTAATCCACAGCAGAATTAAATTTCTAGCTCCATGCATAGTGCTTCCAGCATTCCCTCCATGTAAACAAGGCAATCCTCACATACATCTGTTGACTCTCAGTTGAGAATGCAGATCCATCTTTTTCCTTCCAAGACATTCATTAGTTCCTGTAGAAGCCAACGAGTTTTATTCTGGATAAAAGCCAGTTGCATATGCGTTGGGTAAATTGAGGGAAGGATTAATGCCCAGAAAAAGGATTCTTGCCTATTTTCTTGCAATGTGCTGGATAGAATTAGTTTAGAGGGCAATTTAGTTCAGGATGGGATCCGTGCAGCTTCGGAGAAGGGGAATTTGGCACTTCTCCAGGTGCTCTGTTTGAGTCGTGGATTAAGTGCCTGGCCTGGATCCAGCAGAGCTCTGTCTTCTCGGTGTCAGCGTGGGGCCAGAAGTGCTGATCTCAGTGCTGTGGAGATGAGTTTCCCTTTCCTGAGTGGCACGTGTCCTGAGCTCCCTCTGAACTGTGTGCCCCGGTAAGAAGTTTATGTGGGTACTGGGGTTCTTATCCTTCTCCACTAATTCCTGTTTTTCTGCTTCCAGGATTGTGAGTGTGAAGGAGACCCGGCTGACGAGTCTGGTGGCAAACTTCTTGGTTGGCCTCTCGCTCCTGCTCCTCCCTTTCCCTCTTCAGTGGATTCCAAAACCAGTCCTCTACGGCCTCTTCCTCTACATTGCATTGACCTCCATTGATGGGAACCAGCTCTTTGAGAGGGTGGCTCTGCTGCTCAAAGAACAGGTAATGTTCACACATTGGCTTGGTGTGGAGTAAATAAATCATGCTTACAACCCGGGAGCCAGCCAGTGCCAGGAGCTAACATGGTGTGGCTAGCTGGTGGTGCTGGGAATGGGCTTACCCCCAAAATTCATGTTCTTGTGAGGCTGATTTCCATCTTCCATCTTGATTTCCATTGATTTCCATTTTCCACCTGCACCTTGCGTATCCATTTCACCTTTCTCTGCAGAGAGGGGAGGGAGTGAAAGATGATGTCTCTGGCTGAGTCTGACTGTCACTGAGACATGAGCAAGAGAATTCTTTTGTGTGAAAGCAGATGAACAAGTGAGAGAGTAATGCTGTGTCAAACAACAAAAGTGGCAAGGTTATTGTTGGGTTAGAAAAAAGTGGTAGCTAAATTGTTCAGAGAATTACACCTCATCTCATTCCTTTCAAATTCTGCATAAATTGCTTTCTGCGTTTCCCTGCTGTGAAAGCATTTGAGTTCTCCTGCTTGGAGTAGTGTCCCAGATAATCCCACTCTTCTCAGTTTGCTTCAGGATTGCTCTAGAAAGCCTTTCTCCAGGAGGGTAAGAATGAGTGCATGGGTGGAACCAGGAGAAGACCTGCTCTGAACTCTGTAGGGCACGAACACATTTGCACAACACATGCATTCAAACACTGCCTGTGATAGTTGCAGAACCATTGCACACGGGGTGTTTGTCAGTCTTAAACCCCCCCCCCAGTGTCTGTCAGCTGCAGAGTATGTGTGTCTTAAGAATAGTTAGGAAAAAAGAAACAAATCTACGATGATGACTTTCAGTTTTGCTGACAAAGCTTCAGAAAAGGTCACTTTTGCCTCGTTTTATGCTTTTGTCTCAACATGTGCAAAGTGTCATGAGATAGTACACTCAAAATGAAATGACTTGTGCTATTGAGATGCTTCTGATGTGGGATGAAAACAAATCTGGAAATCTGCTTTCAAGCCATCTGTATGACAAGTGCATTAAGGCCCTCATTGGCACTGTGGGCAGTACCTGGGAGCAATAATGAGTCTCCAGCTCACCTCTTATGTAATGGATCAAGGGCTTAGCAAGCCTGGTGCTTCTGCTAATCTGTCTTAACCTCTGGGATGTAACATCAGAGATCAAGACTGTGAAATCGGGGTAAAGATTACCATTGTCATGTTGATTTTTTGAATGGAGATTGAATAGTTATGTGGTTGAATAGTGATGCTGTGGAATATTACTTCTGATTTTAATAGAAATTCTGTGGAATTTTCCGAGCTTCAGCTTGGAAAATTAAAAAGTAATGTTAAATATGGAACTCTCACTTTTCTGGAAACCTTTTAATGAGTCATGGCACAATCTGAATCCGTTGAGTCTGTATCAGTGCCAGCAGACAGTCGCTCATACGCTTCATTGATGTATAGACAGTGAGTCAAAGCCTGTACTCAGACATGAGCAAGTCACTGTCAGTGGAAACCACGAGTGATATTTAGCCTATTAATGTCACTTTTTGCTCTTTCTCAAAAGCGAGTAGTTCATGTGAGTGGAGAATCATGGCTGTTGGAGGCTGGCCTCTTCCAGCACCTCCACAATCTCATCTCTTGCTGTTCCCGTAGCAAGGTTCAGATGGAAAATGGGACCACCAGGGCAAGCATAGTCTGATCAGCAGGAGAAAGGCTATGTAATAATGAAGAGCTGGGTTTCAGGTGTGGAAACAAGTGATGGGGTTGCTGGATGAATATTTCTGCTTCCCATCACTCTCTGTGCACCCCCTCAGGCACTTCATGTGTTGCTGCAAAGCCCTGATAATCCTACTCAGGGGAATCTCATTACTGTACTTATCAAGATATTTTCTTGCACTCCAGATGCTCCCTGAGGCTGTCTTCATTGTGTGTTATTTCTCCCCCGGGTTTCTCGTGCCCAGTCATCATCTGTGTGTTGTTGCCAATGCAGTCAGGTTGTTGCATGCTTTAACCCTACAAATCCTACGTTCAGCTGTTGAGCACATTAAGGACTGTTAATGCACAGCGTGGTGTAAACTGGGTTTGTTAAAACCCTTGTTCTGATGCCTGCGTTGTGTCCTGCAGTCACAAGTCCAGGTTGCTGCATTTCTCAGACATCATTCTTCTCTTCCCAGACTGCTTATCCTCCGACTCATTACATCCGCAGAGTGCCCCAGAGAAAGATCCACTATTTCACAGGCTTGCAGGTCCTGCAGCTCCTCATCCTCTGTGGTTTTGGCATGTCACCGTTGCCCTACATGAAGATGATCTTCCCACTCATCATGATAGGAATGATCCCAATCAGGTAAGAAACTCTTCCCAACAAAGCTTGGCTGTATTTTTTACTATCTCCAATGCTTCTTGTCTTCCAGCTGTTGGAAGCCTGAGTGGTTGAAGAGGAGACACAGTGGTCTCCTGAGTACATGATGGCTTGAGGAGGAATAGCACAGAGAGCCTTTGACTTTAATAACACAAAGTGTTGTGCAAAGGGACGTGGTCTGCTTTGTCACTTTTTAGCTGGCAAAGAGGCACCTGGGTCTCCCTTTGCAGTGCCTGTGAGCACATGTCTTCCTGAGTAGCTGCAGTCATCTGAGCCTTTCCTCTTGGTATTGAGAATGCTCCATCTTGCTTTGCATTCTGATTCCCCAAAACCTGCAGTCAGGGCAGAGCTGGAAACTTTCTTTTGCACCACATGAATGTAAAGAGGAAGGAATCCTTATCTTTTATATAGTGCTGGGATGCAGTGACCTTACAGACCACCTGTGTTGCTGAATGCCATTGTAAGTAATCAGCTCAGACAGACCACCTGAAATCTTCAAAATGCATCTAACATAAAACTACAGGAACCCCACAATATCTTGCAATCCTCATTCAGGGACAGAATATCGTGAGTTAGAAGAGACCCTTAATGATCATCGTGTCCAATCCCTGAAAGAGAATCATTGAAGTTTAATGTTTTCCTAATGTTCTTTAAACAGTGTCTGTCCATCATTCTTCAGTTAAATCATGCTTTCTTCTCCATTCTTAGGCTGTAATGAGAAGCCTTAATAAGATCTCAGAACATATCTCCTTCCAGTCCATTTGATTATTTTTAGGCCTGTATGGCATCCAGTGATATCTAGTTCTCTTTGAGCTCGCAGTGCTGGAGGTTTTGCATCTGATATGGAAGCTCAGTGCTCCTGATGTGATAATCTGCAAAAGCAGCTATTGTGGTGGCAATCCTCTTGGCTGGTAAAGCTGGGTTCAGTTCTTTCCAAAACAAAAGCAAATGTCAGCTGCCATGGCTTTCAGCAGGATCCCAGTTAGAGCTATTTGGGCTGGGTGTTTGAAGATGAACCAGCCAGTAGAGAGCACTGAAATAATTGCTCTTCTGGTAGGAGATGCTCTCCCACCATTCAGGTAGGTGGCTCTAGGGATGCCTGGTTAAATGGCTGGCAAATAATTTGTGGATGACGGATTCTTGTGGGAATTCCAAGCCTCTGCAGAGTATCTCAGTATAGGAAAGAAAATTCAGGGCATTCTTACTGAAGTCACAGTATCATAGAATGGCTCGGGTTGGAAGAGGGACCTCAAGGATCATGAATCTCTAACCTCTGCCACAGGCAGAGCCACCACCAACCTCCACGTTTAATACCAGCCCAGGCTGCCCAGGGCCCCATCCAACCTGGCCTTGAACACCTCTAAGCATGGGGTATTCACAATCTCTGGGCAGGTATAAATATTCAGTTAATATAAGTTGTTATAAGGTAAATTACTGTGGAGAATGCTGTGTCAGAGAACCTGAATTTCTCAAAAAGCTGGGTAATTTAATGGTGCAAATACATGTTTTCTTTGACTAAATAAGGCACTGTCATCTTATGCTATATCTACTAAGTTGTTTCTCTTGCCAGAGCAGCTTTTCAAATAGCCTTTGTAATTGGCCCTGCTGCTAAGGGGAAAATGGAATGGAATACCTGGAATGGAAAGCTGCCCTCTGCTTCCTTCCTTCTGAATTCCACATTGCTTTCATGCAATGTCTGTGGGCTCCAGCTGAGAAGGCTGCACCATGATGCTTAGCTCTGTAGCAAATAATGACTTTCTCATGGAGATCTGGCGCTCTAAATAGATGAAGCAGAAAAGAAGAAATGCTTTTTTAAAGAAGCAGAGGGAGGAAGAGGAGAATAGCCAGGGGTCAAAGTCAAGAATCAAACCCAGCTGAATGAGTCACAGCTCGGTGTCCCATCCAGAAAACTTGCCATATGGTTTGCTTGTCTCAAGGCTGCATTCCCTTCCTTCCAACTGCATTAAACACGTGCTTTGCGTTGTCATTTACTGGGTCCAATGTTTTTCCAGTGTCAGTGTTGAAAACTAACTGATTTCGGTGACTTACTATTGCAGTGGAATGGTCTGTTGGGAGAAAATGATATTTTTTTTTGGTGTGCCCAATTCCAAGCGTTGAGCCAAAACTGGGGGGTGTCTGGTGTTTTTTGTTACACTCCTATCCCTGCCCTGGGACGTACTTAAAGTTGCTCTGAGAGGAAGAATCTTTCTACATTCTGTTTCTGTGCTTTCACAGCTTTCAAGCATTTTACTTCATGGCAGGTCAGTCGAAGCAGGTGGGGCATTTCTCAGCAGCAAGTGCTGTTTGGGATCTCTTTTCTAGCTCTTTGAAAAGACCCTTCAGGTTGTAAACAGGCTTTCTAGCACTGTACACTGTTAGAACAGCTGAATTGCTTCCTTCTTAAACAAGAAAAGTGTCAAACTACAAATGTGCCGTGGGATCTGATGAGAGCAGCTTTCTACCATGTTCTTAGTGGCTTTCATTTCTCACCCAAATACATTAATTGATGAAGGTGTTTGTGGGGAGGAAGAAAATAACAAAAAACACAAAAAAAATGAAACACCAAAACAAAAAACAAACAACCCCCCAGAATACAGGAAAGCAAGAGAATAGAGGCATCATTACCTCCGTGATCAAATGGATGCTAAGGGCTGGGTAGGCATGGAGCCTTACCAGCAGCTGGAATGTCACTGCCCTGCTCAACTTCTTGATCTCAAGTCTTGATGTGTTCTGTGCTTATTAAAAGACTCTCTGAAGCTGCTGGGTTCCCATTAAAACTTCCTCGTGGGGAGAGCTGGAAAGAGTGACCTGATGTACTTGGAGGACTGAGGAAATGCAAGATAAATACCCTTGTATCCTAAAGCTTGTGCCAGCCCTGAAATTTTGGGAAGGGTTTCTCCTGTGAACCCTCAATGCTTGCTGTTCAAAGTGTTGTACTGGATGTAAGGCTGCATCAGGCATGGTTTGTGTGTTGGAAAACTGTAGGGAGAGTGCTTAAGAAAACAGGAACAGGATATAAATTGTGACCTATGGACAAGTAATCCATCCACTAGCAAGCTGGGGACAGCAGGAAGCTATTGCTTGCCTCCCCAGCACAAAACATGAATGTGTCTGCGGGCAAATGAAAATCAGACTTGGCAAACAAAACACTTGAATTGAACAGTTTCTAATGCACTCTCTCTGGTTCATTCTTAGGTATAACCTGCTCCCTAGAATCATTGAAGCCAAGTACTTGGATGCTATGGATGCAGAGCACTAAACAAGATCTGCTGCATGCGGAGCTGTGAGGATGGCTCTCTTGGAGTTGGAAGGATGGGGCGTCTTTGCCAAGGCATAGGACAGTCTATCTGCAGTTCTTTCTTTCACCACTTTCTTTCTGCTCTAATATGGCGTTGGTAATGCACATATCAAAGACCAATTGAGCATTGAAGTGTCAGACCAAAACAGCCATGGACTTGGGAGGCCAGTGATCTTTGGAGCTGTGAGGCAAGCAAGCTCGATGGAAATGCCACTTTTCTCATCCCAAAGCTGGAAACCCTGGAAAAACAGCATGCCATACAGTTGGAGCATGCATTCAGAGTTGTGTGTACCCTTGTTTGAGGGGTGGGGGAAAATCCCTTTTGTATGCATCACGTCCCTTTTTTCCAAAGCACTGTAAGGACAACAGCTGACCCTTTTACAGAATGACAGTCCTATTTAGTTTGGCCTTTGAATTCCATTTCCTATTAATCCAGCATTCCCAAATTGGTATCCCAAGTGGGATGGCCTCATAGCAAACTGTTGTTAGGGGAAATGTCTGACTGTCTCTTCAGACTCATTAGCAGAAGGGTTGGAAACAAGTTAGTTTGTACTGATACAACCCACAGCTTTGGATGAGTATTTAAGTCCCACAGATGACCTGGAAGCATTCAGAAATTGGGCTCACGTGGTGATGTTGGTGGAACTGCATCTGGGTCTGAATTATTTTGGCTCTTTCTGATTTTACCACTTGGTAATCAAACACAGAAGTGTAGTTTTGCACAACTGCAACGTCCTTGCTTGCACCCAGAGTCAGATGCTGAAACTTGTTGAAGGGCAGTTGTGTTAATGATTGCATATACATATGTACAGTAGTGCCTCTGTGTACATATATACATATGGATTTGTGTATATATTTTGCATAGATATTCAAATAGGCCTGGTTCTTTCAAAATATCAGAAGTGTTTTGTGCAATCAGTGTTACCTGTGGTGTCTTGACCATATACTTGTTCTCTGCTTTAGTGCTGCTTTTTCTCATTTGTTGTATGGTCCCTTGTTTTTTTTTTTTCTTCTGAAGCTGCTTGTTTACTATTATTTTTCCATGATTCTTTATTCAAGATGTTTCTTTACTTTCCTCTTCCCATGGCTTGAGACCTTCATCATTCTGTCTTGGTGGTCTGATATGTGAATTTTGCATTTAATTTTAATGTACAGCATGCAATGAAAGTTCTCCTCCTTTGCCTAATCAATATTTGTTGCTCATTTCATTGTTTCTGTTCTGTGACTAATCTCCAGTTTTTTCCCCTGCTCCCAGACATTATATTATATTTCTGGATGAATCTAACTTCTGCAGTCTTTTATATTTCAGTTTATTTAATTTTGCTTGTACAGTGGTCAGTTTTCTTATTTGAAGTACTGTGAAACCAGCTGCCCTTTATGTCAATGCCTGCCCGTTGCTGCACGCTACAGATTGCAGGCAAAACTTCAAGGGAAGTGGAGTCCTGATGATGACAAACTTTCAAAACAGCAAAAAATGAGAAAAGGGGAAATTGTTTTGTAAATTAGCAGAGAGAAATGTTGCTTGCTTGCTCGGTTCCCTACGGGTTGGGTGTTTCTCTGCACGATGAGGAAGGCCAACTTTGCAATGAGAGGGAAGAGAGCTGCAGAGAAAATTTCTCAGCATACGAACAGACTCGAGCCGCTGATGATTTGTTGTCTCTGTGCTAAATATCAGGTGGTATTTCATCTCGATGCAGTCGCCTATGGTTTTCACATGTGTGTGAAAAGGTTTATTTTCTTCATCTTAATGAAAGAGAGTGTTAAATGTGCTCCCTTGTGGGCATGGTCACTGCATCCCAGAGCTAACACAGGGAAAGCTGTCAGCTTTCATAGCAAGCCAAGCAGCAGCAAGGCCTTCATGTCACAGCCCATTCTCTGTGAATGCTGAGAAGGCTGCAGGTCAAGGTAACACTCCAGCAGATGAAAGCAGGTAAACGTCACACATTGGGCTTTCAGTTGGTCCTGAAGGCAGCAGGGGTAACTCACGTGATGTCTGACCAGTGGTGTGATACTAAGTGCAAATCTGTGCATGGCTTCTGACTGCCTTCATCAATGTTTTCTGGGCTTTGATTCATTTTTGTGGTGAAATTGCTGATGGCTATTACCAAGGTCTACATGTAGAAAGAGAAGGTGAGCAATAGGCAAACAGGATTTTGGGGACTGGGTGGAGGCGGTAAAAGCATCTCTGATCTCCAGTCAACAGAAAAAGATGACAGCAAACAATTAAGTACTTATTGTGAAAGAGCAATTGCACAGGCCTGACAATGCTTGTGTGCTGGGGATGTTATATTTAACCAGAACTAGAATGACAAGTGTTAACTTATGGTCAAGTAAGCTATTACCTATCTTGGGAGTACATTGCTGGTGTCTCAGCTCTTGGCTGAGAGAAGTCATCCTGCAGGGTAGTTTGAACTGTATTGTGGGTGCTGTGGCTGGAAGGAGGAGACAGTGTGCTTGCTGGGATGAACCTCTGGTCCTCTCCGAGGCCCTGGATGAAATCTCCTCCAGTGCAGAGTAGCTGAGATGGGCTGGCATGCAAGTGTTGCAAGAAGAATTAATTTTGAGATGCGCCCTCCAAGTCCCTGCTCACAAGGACCAAAAAAGTGTCAATTTGAAAACGTTGGTTTGAGTCAAACTTAATTGAAGGTCACTTAAAATCCAGATAACTGGGGGGAGTTAAATAGCCATCACAATTATTGGGTTGGGGATTCATTGCTGTTGCTTTGCCAGTATGACTTCAGTGTTTGTGTTTTCTCAGTAGCATCCCTAGGATTCTGTTTTGCAAAGTTTTCTTTCTACAGAATGTGTGGGGCCAAAGAATCAAGTGATGGGGGGCTGGTTTAGCCTGTGTGAATATTTCGGACCCGTGTCTAAAGATGTGGGTAACGGAGAGATGTAAGACTACCAAGGCCTCATGGCTGTTGAGGAGTTGCAGTGGTCCTGCAGAGGATTTTCCTCCTACGAGTACCTTTTCTCTTGTTTGCTTCTGGTTTTGCTGACGTAAGTGTAGGCAGGCATCTCCAGGAAGTAGGCTAACTAGGGAAGGAGGGACTGTTCAGAGTTGATCGAGCACTTTAATACTTCTGTGAAGGTTAAGACAATTAGAATGTAAAAGAAGTTTTATTATAAGCTCTTTATATACGCACAATGCTATGTATAACTGTTGCCAAAGAGTTGGGTTTGAAGGATGTTGGTAGCTTTTGAGAGTCCATGATGCTCACCTGGAACCACAGAGGTCGCAGAATGCTTCTGGAATAAATGCATTTTGGGAGTTGTCTTCTGACAGTTGCCAAAGCAATTGGAAACTGAGAATAGAATAAATTTCTACTCTTGAATTTGTAGTTTTTGATCCTTGCACTGAATGTAGGAGCTAGAAATTAGCTTGATAATTAAAATTGGATTTGTACCTGAATAGCTTTGTTGGTCTGAGACTCGTTTTATTGCCTTCAAAGATGATGTTGACGCTCTAATGTATGGAAATAGTTGTTTCTCCATGTAAATGAAGGGCAGTTGTTGAAACATGGGCTGCTGAACAGGCAATATAGCACTTTCTGGATTGCTTAGCAAGCAAGTCTGGCAACATCACTAACAACAACCCCCCGCGTTCTCTGGCATCAACATCTGAAGCTATTAATAAATGTCAAACTGGAGTTGGGTGATACGTCAAGGCATCACTGAGGAAGGATGGGAGTGGAGAAAACGAATTCAACTAGTTTGTACCACCTGGTGAAGTGTTTCAAGATGAATCCAACAGCTGTGAGATGTGATGCGTGCTTCCGGATGACCTGTGTGAACTGGGATGCTCCAAAAAAACAAATACGGTAGACGATCGCACCCACATGCTGTGGTTCAAATAATTGTCCTTCAAAGGTCCCCATCCCCAAGACTGAAACAGTTCGTAGACTTTTGCATGTTGTATTTGTCTGCTTCAGAAACTGCTGCTGAACTGTGTTTTTTTCTGGACCTTCTTTGGGGACAGAAGCAAAACGACAACAGAAAAATACATGAAGTTGGTCAAAGTTGGATAACGCTTGCAGAAGATGCTGGAGGAGAACCTGAGACATGCTGTGTCACCTGGAGCTCCTTCCACGTGGATACTTACTGGGTCACAGACTAGGATCTGCCCCATCGGTTGGGGCGTGCTCATGTTTATCCTTAATCTTATCCACTGTTTTCTGTATTTGTCCTTTGGTATGTTATCACCAAAATGGCCTAACAGGGGAAAAAATGGGAGTTGGCTCAAACGTTTGTGCGTTCCTCCGAAACTTCAGTGTTTTCACTGCTTCTGATGCCATCTCCTGACATAGATCTCATCTTCTCCAGCTCTCTCCTGGAAGCTCTCTGGCATCCCCAACTGCAGGAATGCTGACAAAATGCTGAGTGGGTATTTTTCTCTGGAGAACACGAGCCTGTGTTTGAGCAGCAGCGTGGCAGCGGCTGCTCCCTTGGGGCTCGCTCTGCCATAATGGGCAATTAGGAAGGATTTGTAATTGTCCTGCTGTTGCTCTGTCTTCTGCATCTCTTTAGTTGATTACTTTATGGCACAGTGTTCCAGTCGGGCTGTCATCTTTTTCATCTGTCATGCTTCCAAAACAATTTAAATAGGCAGTATGGGAGGGGTTTGCCCAGTTTTCTATCTGTGCTGCAGCCTGTGGATGTTAGAAGAGAATAACCTTCTCTAATTGTTTTCATATCTAATTGAGGCATTTAAATGCCAACCCTGACCATTATACTACTGGCTCTGGCTCTAGTTGCAAAGAGCAAGCCATCAATATGGTGTAAGGAGCAGACATACAAGGGAGCTGCCTGAGCACATGCTTAAGAACTACAAATTAGCACTTTCCTTTTCAGCTTTTGTGTGTTTTCCTTCCAAGCAAAGACAATCCTTGGCTGTGACTCTCTCCCTTGTAGAAAACTCTGCATGAGCTCGGATCACTTGGCACAGTTCTGATGCAGTGTTAAATATTAAGAGCTTGTCCCAAGGGACGTGCTGCCTTCTGCTCCCCATCTGCATCTGTGCTGCAAAGATCTGCTTGCAGGAGGAGGGGATGCGTGTGGCATCTCTGTCCTCCATGTGACGCTTCTTGCTGCTACACAAGGGCCATCACCATCCCTTGCTTTGCCCCAGGTGGGAGTCTCAAAGTGAACAAAATGGCAAAGAGTTGGAAAAAATAGTTGGCAATTAAATTCTCTCCTTCTGAACCTCTGAGCTCCACTGAATTTCTGCTTCTCGCACGTCAAAACAGAAGGTCTGTGGCAGTAGTGGAGCTACGTGATGTGGGCTTTGAGAAGCAGTGTATCAAATTCAGCAGCTGGGGTATTGGTTTCAGCGCTCGGCAGCTCGCTGGTGGCTGTGATCAGCTGTCACCATGCCTATCAGCAACAATCGCTGTTTCAGCATCAAATTTACATTGGTTTCACCAGGTTGGATGACTTGGGCGGTTTCTGCCACTGTCCACATAGGCAGTGGTGGTATAACATGGCCATGCTGGTCCTGCCCAATGGAGCAAAGGGTGCAGCCCTTGGTGTGGACATCTGAGCAACGCAGCGTGCCCTTCCTCCGTGAACTGCTTACCTTTAGGAGCAGTTGGGCCACCTTTCCATTTCATTTTTCATTTATTAATGTGTCGTCATGTCTTTCTGAGCTTCTCAAATGTGGGACCACGGCATTCCCATCCTAGGGTGGGAGAAAGCATGATGCAGCTGCTGGAGAGTGAGAAACCCATCGTGCTGTTGACCCCCGCAGGATGTCAGCCTCGTGCATTTGGTGGAGCTGCTCTGATTCAGTGAGTCAGATGCCTTTGTGCTCTGTTACTTTCAGAATTGTTTAGTCTCTGTTTTCCTCTATCCTCTTCAACGATATGTGGGGCTGTGCCTTTTCTCCGCACAGGAATTACCCTTAAAAGCAAGGCTTGTCTTAAAGTAAGACATCCAGCAACCTTCCTTCCCAAAATGTGTGGTCCTACATGAGTGCAAACCAAACCCTTGGTTCCACCTGAGAAGGGGGCTGCATCTCAAATGCTTCCTCATTTTCCCCCGTTCTGCTCTCAAAATCATTAAGGTTGGAAAAGACCTCAAAGATTCCCAAACCCCACTGACCGCCTCCCTTGGCGCCACTTCTCCTGCAGCATGGCACATAGCTGGTTAAACATCTCTGGGTTTGGTGTCTGGGAAGTTTGTTCCCCAGGTTGCTGGGGAACTATTGTGAGGGAAAGCACACGTTCCTATTTATGGAGGTAGGACCTATAGATGTTGCACTTGCTAAATATGCTCTCAAAGCGCATGCCTCTATCTAGTGTTGATTTTACAGTGGGTGATTTCTTTTGATAAGAGTTGCTTTGGGACGTGGGGAGGGTGGGGGAAAGGGGATTCCTTTATTGTGTAAGGAAATTGTATTTAAAAGCAAAATAAAAAGAAATATACTGTTTATATATTTCTACTTCATGCCTAATCGGTGTCCTTTATTTAACCTTCAGCTCCCAGCACAGCTTGGGTCTTTGTCCCGCACAGATGTATGCATTTCTTTGGTTATTTGTGGGTATCCCTGTAGCTGAGATTAATTCTGTAATCCCCAATGCTTGCAGTATTTGAGCATCTCAACTGTGACAGTAAATAGACGCGTTATCTTGTAGGCAGGAGTCTGGGCAGCCACAATGGGATTGCTTTGTGTCTTAGGGTCTGATTTTTGGGTGGTCCTGCGTGGAGCCAGGTGTTGGATGTGGTGAGCCTTCATGGGTCTTTTCCAACATGAGATATGCTATGGTTAATGGAGAAGAACAAGAAATAATTGCACCTTTCAGCTGATGCAGTGCACCGAGAGAGTCAAGGCCTGGTTACCATTGCCTTTATGGCTCTGTGTTGGCGTTGCCCAATGTGGAGACGAGCCTCAAATTAGTGAGGTGGTGCACTGTGGGAGCCTGAGGATGAGCTCTGTTACCTGGAAATGATGTCACTAGTTATCTATATGGAACCCAAGCTTGAACAGTTTCTCTCCAGTTCCCTGTAGTTTACCAGGGTCCTCAAGAGTCTTGCACTGCAGACGTGGACATGAGATTGAGGCAAAGATAGGACAGCGCGAGCATGGTGGCATCCTCTGCAAGGAGGAAGGTTCTGCATCTTCACAGGTCTCTGGCCAGAGGATCAATTCTTCCCTCTGTCAGCATGAGCTGCCCTACAACTGACTCTTTCAAATAACTTACATATGCATGTGGACAGGCTGTGGGGTTGGGGAGGAAGGAGTGAGAGGTGATTTCCAACCACCTGTACTCAGCAAGTGAATCATCCTTCAGAAAGCAAGATCTCTGTGCTAAGAGCTGAGCATTGCACACAGCTCTGATACCTGGAAGGCAGCTGAGAGCTCTTCCCAAAGACTCCTCAGCATTGTGTGACCCTCACAGCTGAGAACTTAGCAATGATAGAATCACTTCTGAGGAGGCTTGAGGCATGTTCTGCCCTACTGTATGGGTCCCAGAGACAGTTCTGGTGATTTTTCATTGCTCAGTGTGAGAACAGCACCAAATTTTGAGGCCCTGATGGGTTTTGTGCTCAGTATGAAGCTGCCTGCTGTCTACTTCCAGCAAGATGACTGGAAAGCCAGAACGTGTTCTTACTGGTCTGTCCTGGACATGCAGAACTGACTCACGGAATGGTTTGAGTTAAGGATGCTTGAAGGCCACCTGGTCCTTCTCTGCAATGAACAGGGACATCCACAGCTCCATCAGGTGCTCAGAGCTCCATCCAGCCTGACAGGGCTGATGGTATGGTGCTGATGTGTTGACAGCTGGACTTGATTTTTTTTTCTTTTCCAAGCTTAATGATTCTATGAAAGGAGGCATTCCTACAAAGGTAAGCAATGGTAGTAAGTAAGTCTGGAAGTCTTGGTCTGAGGTGAGTAAGGGTGCAGAGCTGGATGTTGGGATGTCAAAGCCAAATGCTTTGGATGATTCCAGTGGCCCAGCATGATGTTCTTCCATGTGTGAGACTGCAGTGATGGCTGGGAAGGGATAAATGAGCTAACCAAGAGCAGATGGGCTCCCTAGGGAAGGAGAAGCCAGCTGCTACGCAGACCTTCATGCATCAGTTTGTGAATCCAACAGCTCCAGAGGGAAACCTGTGCCTCCCCTGTGGTCTCCGTCCTCAGCCCACAGGACAGGGCCTCAACCAGGACATCCCTCAGGTCCATTCTGGGTGCAGGGGTGAACTGGGAAGGCTGCAAAACTGCCGAAGCAGTGCAATGATGTTCTTGATGTTACAGCAGGACTTTAAATACATGAGGAGCTGATAAGGGGTGTGCAGGACATCTCGCCTTCTGGCTGTCATCACATGAGGCTGTGGC